GTTTGCAATCGAGGACACATTCCTTAGGGTTTAGGGTTTAGGGTTTAGGGTTTAGGGTTTAGGGTTTAGGGTTTGGGGTGTAGGGTTTAGGGTTTAGGGTTCAATGATCTAGGCAAGGGCGCTCTTTTCTTTCTGGTTCTCGGAGTCGGTGAGCGCATGGCGGTATGAGAGATGCGCGCTACAGGGGGGGCTCCCGTGGTTGACCCGGAGGTGTCCGTATTGAGGGTTGGGGCTTAGGGCCCTATAAGCCCTAAACCTTAAACACAAAACCCTAGCAAATCCTAAGCCCTAAACCCTAAACCCTAAACCCTAAACCGTAAACCCTAAACCCTAAACCCTCCGGTCTTTGGGTTCATTTGGGCCTTGACCAGTGCCAAGCCCTGAGTTCCAGGCAGGACCAGGGCACACAGCGCGGGGAGCAAGACCCGGTGGCCTTGAAAAGGCGCGTGGAGGGTTTAGGGTTTAGGGTTTAGGGCTTAGGGTTTAGGGTTTAGGGTTTAGGGTTTAGGGTTTAGGGTTTAGGGTTTAGGGTTTAGGGTTTAGGGCTTAGGGTTGAGGGTTTGAGGGGGTTTGAGGGTTGAGGGTTTGAGGGTTTGAGGGTTTGGAGTCTTTGGGTTGAGGGTTCGGAGTCTAGTGATTCGGGTGTAAGGAGCCTAAACCCTAAACCCTAAACCCTAAACCCTAAACCCTAAACCCTAAACCCTAAACCCTAAACCCCCTAACCCCTTCACTTGCAGGGGGGGAGGTTCGAGATGCCGGAACTCTGGTCCTTCTTTCCGAGCCCTGATGGAGCAGGCTTAGGGTCCAGGGTTAAGGGGTTTAGGGTTTAGGGGTTTAGGGTTTAGGATTTAGGGTTTAGGGTTTAGGGTTTAGGGTTTTGAGTTGAGGGTCTTGGCTCATGTTTAGGGCCTAAGCTCAGGGTTTAGAGTTGAAGGTCTGGGGCTCAGGGTTAGGGGCTTGCGGTTTAAGGTTTCTTGCTGTGGGGTGGTGGGTCTTGGGTTTTGGAGTTTAAGCCTAAACCCTATACCCTATACCCTAAACCCTAAACCCTAAACCCTAAACCCTAAACCCTAAACCCTAAACCCTAAACCCTCATGGAGCCGGGCATCGTTGCGACGTCGGCCGCAGGCGCCGCAGAGATGGAGGCCGCATTGGGCCGGAGGCCTGCAGAGGCTCGACATGCTGGCGGGTTTAGGGTTTAGGGTTTAGGGTTTAGGGTTTAGGGTTTAGGGTTTAGGGTTTCGGGTTTAGGGTTTAGGGTTTAGGGTTTAGGGTTTAGGGTTTAGGGTTTAGGGTTTTAGGAGAAGCCTAAGTACCATAAACCCTACATCCCCCAAAAACCCCTAAGTTTTTGGGCTTCGGCCCCAAAAGGCATCTTTTCAACGCGCGTGCCCTCATCGAGGCACCCCTGACCCAAGACCCAAAACTCCCATGAGGGTCCATGATGTGGATCAACATCCAAACACATCACAACACCTATACGCACACTCCGCGACACGAACAAGCCTTGCCCAAGACACAACTGAAGGGCAAGCTCTGCATCAGAAACAACTGGCAGCTGACTCACTCATGTCATAACCCTACACCCCGAATGCCAGCCAAAAATGGAAGTTGGTTTTGGGTTTGAAATGCTCTGTGAAGGCAATAACCTGAGGAGGGGTCGGCGGGCTTGAAAGGGCTCTCCGCTGCCTGGCGCCAAGCCATCGCAGGCTGTTGCTGCCGAAGACCCCCCACGGAAGTTTGAGCCCTGATATGCTGCAATCAGTAAGAAGCTGCCACTATGGCATGAAAACTCAAGCAACAAGAAGGCTGGGCTTTTGCTTTCTTGTCTTAAGCTTGGGATGTCTGGTGTAATTCGAAGACATCGCGTGTCTTCAGCTCTTGCCACCACGTAGTGAAAGGCCTCAGTTGACATACTTTTGAGTGTGTGTTGGGCAGAAGCAGACTTGGGCCTGGAGATTCGCTCTCAACACACAGGCATTGCATCCATTCCTTATTCGCGTTGGCATGAGCTTCTTCGGCAAGAGCGTGCAATTTCATGCTGCACATACCCAACCTTGAGCTGGACAGTGCAGCATAGCACATGCATAGCACTACCAGCGAATTCAACGGGCTGCCGCTTGCCTGCGCAGCAAAACTGAGAGAGATGCACCTGCAAGAATCATCAAGACGAAGGCTGAGACTGGAAAAGAGGAGGAACGAGTGAGAATGTCATGCGTGTCCTCATTGGGCTGCACACCGGAGCGGGTCATTCTCAGAAACCACTTCCTCTGTTCCTGACAGACCTGCCGCCTCATTCGTCGCCATACGGATGAATCATACGCCGCGCTCGTCTTCAACATGCTGTTGTAGGCACTCGCGTCCGGCTGAACACCAGCATGAGTCATAGAGCTGAACCATTCCTCTGCCTGATGCAAGTCTCCGGTGCGCTCGCACGCCTTGAGGAGGATGTGAAAGGCCTTGATGGTCCGCGTCACGCCTGAATCCAGCATGCGCTGCAACCAGGCGTCTGCCTGGGCGAAGTCCTGGTGAGCCAACACCGAGCTGATCAGAGCTTCGTACGTGTGCTCCGTAGGCTGGAAGCCCGCTGCCTCCAGCCTTTCCAGCCATTTGCGGGCATTGCGAACATCACCTGCGGCGCCGCAGACACTCATCACGCAGTTGAAGGCGGTCACATCGGGGCGTACGTCAGCTGCCTGCATGTTGCCGAACCATTCCTCGGCACCTCGCACGTCACCTTTCTTGATGAACACTGAGATCATGCTGGTGTAGGTGACGACATTGGGTACAAATCCGGCTTCAACGCTCCGGTTGAAGAAATACGCCGCCCTGCGCGGGTTTCCGGCATTGGCGCATGCCTTCAGCAGCCGCATGAAGGTGAAATTGTTTGGACGCACGCCCGCTTGCTCCATGCTCTTCCAGAAGCCCTCCGCCTTCTCCAAGCTGTGCGGATCATCATCCTCATAAGCGCAAGCACTGATCAAGTGGCTAAACGTCACGACGTTTGGCATGATTCCCGCAACCTGCATGCGCTGGAAGCATCGATTCGCACGGGTGGAGTCCCGAGACACAGCGCAGGCCTGAATAAGGATCGTGTAGCTTTTGGCATCCGGGGCAACACCATTCTTAAGCATGCGGTTGAACCACATGTCCGCGCGGTCCACGCCGTGCGGCATCGCGAAGCCGAACATGACGGAGTTGTAAGCCTCCGTGCTGCATTGGTCAGACTGCTCCATCTCGTAGGCCCACTTCTCAAGCTGCTCTCGATCCTTTGCCCTGGCGAAAACCGACAGGAACCATTGATATGTGATCCGATCTGGACGCAAGCCGCGCCCAGCCAAGCTGTGGAAGAGCGTCTTGGCCTCTTCCACAAGGCTGGCGATCTCCGGGTGTTCAGATGTCGCAAGGTCTCTTCTCAACTCACGCATCCGTTTCTGGACCTTGTCGGCGAGCTCCTGGAGGTGTAGGTTGAACTGATCCAACGTGTCATGATCGATCTCCCTTGGCGCCGCCGCACCATCCGCGCACTGCACAGGGTCCCTGTCGTCTCCTGAGCAGGTTAGCAGAGTGGCCGGCTTGTCTGTGACCGAACGCAAGTCCTCTTGCTGGACCGTGTGCGCGCAGAAGGGACATCGCACGGCACATGCATCGCACAAAGCGATGCGCCTGCAGTGGGAGCCTGCTGGGATGCTTCCGTCTGATGCTGGGGGTCTTGGCCCCGGACACCCCAACCGGGAGCACTCGAAGTACGTCAACGTGTTACGACCACATGCGAAGCACTGATGGAGACAGAGAGAAGAACTGGAGGTGTCCTCATCAGTCTGCATGGCGAGGCTTCTTGCAGGGCTGGACAAGAACGACGCCCCACTGCAGCGTCACTACACGTGGCCGAAGCCTGTGGAAACCAGCTGCGTGAGGCACATTCCTTAACGAACCCACAACCCTAAGCCCTCAGCACCGAATCCTAGACCCGATAACCGATACCTCCCAACTCGGACACCTCCCGAAGCCTGAAAAATCCTGAAGGTTCCTTCTTTGCTTTTGACTAGTTTCATCCTGAGCCCTAAGCCGTAAACTCTCAACCCTCAACCAGTACTCACTACGCAACACTCGGCGCTGAACGTTGGCGAACAGCGGGGCCCCTTTTAGGGTTGAGGGCTTATGTGGCCTTTGGGGGTGGAAGGTTTGGGGCTTTAGGGCTTTAGGGCTTTAGGGCTTTAGGGCTTTAGGGCTTTAGGGCTTTAGGGCTTTAGGGCTTTAGGGCTTTAGGGCTTTAATCCGAGCTTCTGATTAGTGGGTGGGGGGGCCCCCCCCCCCCCACAATAAGGAATGCAGGGTTCCGCAATAGTTGGACCCTGGCCCTGTATTGATTCTCTATTAAAAACAATAGGCTGCAGATCCCTGAGGTGCTGTAGCTTTGCGTCTCCGCAAGCAAAACAAGAAGCCTGCCGACAGATTTTTGAACCCCCCCAAAAAAATTCCTTTAAATGTGGGGGGTTTGTCCCATACGAAATCCACCCTAATGGAAAGTAGTCTTCCGGCGGGCTTCCGGCCAAAAAAAATTTCTTTAAATGTGGGGGGTATTAATTAATCAGATGCTCGGATTAGGGTTTTAGGGCTCTAGGGCTTTAAGGCTTCTGGGGTTTTTAGGGCTTTAGGGCTTTAGGGCTTGAGGGTTTGAGGGTTTCAGGGTTCTCTGTGAAAGCCGCAGCTCCTGAACCCTCAAGCCCCAAAGTGCCGAAATCCCCAGGGCTCCACGACATCTAAAAGCCCGTATGAACACCCTTTCTCCGTACATCAGATGCTCGAGTGGTGCGCGCCAGCTACCCGTGGCCTTCCCTAACATTGTGCCTGAAGACACATTTCTGCAAGCTCGAGGAAAAACCTCTTCTAGGGAAAACTTTCCAAGCCCTGCCGGGCTGTACGCAGGGCATTTAGTGCTTTCTAAACTTTGCCATCCCCTGAACCCGACCTCCTTTGTGCGCTCAGAGGGGGCCCTGCTATGGTTCCTTCTCCCGGGTCAGAAGGCGGTACAAGTGAAAGCTGGTAATGCAGGAGACTGCGCAAAGCGCCACCTGCATAAGGGCTTAGGGTTTGGGGTTTAGGGTTTAGGGTTTAGGGTTTAGGGTTTAGGGTTGAGGCGCCACCTGCATGAGGGCGTAGGCATCCTGGCCGCCCGGCCCATCAATCATCCCGCGCGCCAGGGCAGGACTCAAGAAACGGGCCACGCTGTCTTGCAAGAGGGCGTCCACGATGACCATGACCTTACTTCTCCCATAACCAAGGGGGAAAAGAAGGTTAAACTCTAACATTCCTACTAAAAAAGGAAGCCCAAGAAGTTTAGGGTTTAGGGTTTAGGGTTTAGGGTTTATAGGGTATAGGGTTTAGGGTTTAGGGTTTAGGGTTTAGGGTTTAGGGTTTAGGGTTTAGGGTTTAGGGTTTAGGGTTTAGGGTTTAGGGTTTTAGGGTTTAGGGTTTAGGGTTTAAAGTTAAAGGCGAAGTAAGTGGCTTCTGCTGAGAAGAGCGATCCAGGCTTGGAATGCTGCAGCAGGATTCCTTCCGCGATGCCGCTGGCCGTGTAGGCCATCGGAAAAAGCAGGCTGTCCGCAACAAGGATTGGCCAATAGCCCGGCACGCCCCCAAATGCAGGACCGATCCTCGCATGTTTAGGGTTTAGGGTTTAGGGTTTAGGCTTTCGGGTTTAGGGTTTAGGGTTTGGGGTTTAGGGTTTAGGGTTGAATCCCTTGATAAAGTACGAGCTATGATGGTCCCACATAAATCTACCCAAACACGCGGCGCTACTTCCCGCGGCCGGGGATCTCCGGAAAGAAGAGCAGGGAAATCAGCAAGGTCGACAGCGTCAGCGCGCAGACCATGGCAGCCTTGCTTCTCCGATAACCAGGGGGAAAAGAAGGTTCAACTTTAATATTCCTAATATTCCTACTACATAAGGTAAACCCAAAAAGTTTAGGGTTTAGGGTTTAGGGTTTAGGGTTTAGGGTTTAAAGCTCAAGGCGAAGGAAGCAGCATCCGAGCCCCGACCCGGCTGCAGCAAGCCAAGGCAGGCCATCAAGGGGGTGCCGAAGAGGAAGGTCGACCCCACGGCGAGACCCACGATGCGGCGCCGGAAACCGTACTTCGCCTCAGAAGAACAGGGAGAGTTATCCCTAAACCCTAAACCCTAAACCCTAAACCCTAAACCCTTAACCCTTAAACCCTAAACCCTAAACCCCTAAACCCTTAAACCCTAAACCCGAAACCCGCATTTCGCCTCCAAGAGCAGGGAGCTTGCTGCTTCGAGCGCTGACACGATCAGCGCCCGCTCCACGCCGAGCGCAGCAGCAGTGACCCAGACTTGCGCTCTGCTGGAGTGGTCCACGTCCTCTAGGGTTTAGGGTTTAGGGTTCAGGGTTTAGGGTTTAGGGTTTAAGGTTTAGGGTTGAGGGTTGAGGGTTTACGGTTTAGGGTTTAGGATTTAGGGTTTAGGGTTTAGGGGGTTCCCCTACGACACCCCTCTAAACTACCCCCCCCCCCCCCTAGGTTCCCCCCATAATTTAGGCTGTTTAGGGAGCATTAAGCCTACTTAAGGTTATTTTAAGGGGGGGAACCCTAAACCCTAAACCCTAAACCCTAAACCCTAAACCCTAAACCCCCCCTTTTAGGGTCCTCAAGGTTGCAGATCTGGTCACTGGGAGGGCTGGGCTGCTCCTTGGGGCCATCCGAGGTCACTTCGAGGACTTGGGGAACCAAGAGGAAGGACGCGAGCGTCAGCAGAGTCCACACCCCTGGAGAGGGCTTTAGGGTTTAGGGCTTTAGGCTTTAGGGTTTAGGGTTTAGGGTTTAGGGTTTAGGATTTAGGGTTTAGGGTTTAGGGTTTAGGGCTTAGGGTTTAGGGGTTAGGGGGGCGGTAGGCAGAAAATGTACTCGAAGCCCTCAGTCCTGAACCCTTTTCTGGGATAATCTGGCCCCCGAATCCTCAACCCTTTCTTGGGATACACTGAACACAGGCACTTCTATCGTAACCCTAAACCCTAAACCCTAAACCCTAAACCCTAAACCCTAAACCCTAAACCCTAAACCCCACATCAGGGGACCCCGACTTTCGGAGAACTCCCCCACCTGCTAAGCACCAAGCGGGAGCTGCATAGCTCTCAAGCTCAGATAGATCCTTGAAGGGTTTAGGGTTTCGGGTTTAGGGTTTAGGGTTTAGGGTTTAGGGTTTAGGGTTTAGGGTTTAGGGTTTAGGGTACGATGAATACTATTTGTATTCATATTTCGTTCTTAGCAAACAATAGGGTTTAGGGTTTAGGGTATCAGCAACGGAATTTTTCAGATTCATAATCATGTCATATTAGTATCTCTGTTCATATGGTCCCACAAAAAGTCCAATTTCTGTGGGGTTTACAGATGGTTCTTCTTTTTTGACAAGGGAGTTGGAGGATCACAACAACAAAAACCCTAAACCCTAAACCCTAAACCCTAAACCCTAAACCCTAAACCCTAAACCCTAAAACCCTAAACCCTAAACCCTAAACAAAAACAAAAAACAAAGACAAGGCCCAGGTTCAGGGAGAAGCCCACGAAGGGCTGCGTCAAGCAAGGGCCCCGCACCGACTCCGAGGCTGCAGACGATGCCCCCGGCGAGGCTGAAGGGCACCAGCTCGGGCTCCGGCGTGACTTTCACGGCCAGCAGCCAGGTCGGAGAGAACATGCAGAGCCTGGAGCACGGCAGATGAAGGGAGCAACAGAGAGGAAGAGAGAGAGTCAGAGAGAGAGCAAGAAAGAAAGAAGGAAGGAAGGAAGGAAGGAAGAGAGGAGGAAAGGAAGCAAAAAGAGGTGGAAAGGAGGAAGAAGAACCGCTTGAGTTGGAAAGCTCAAAGCTCATCTTGTCTCGCTCGCAACCCTAGCCCTACATGCCTTAAATCCCCGAAACGCCACCGAGGCTATGGCATGCCCATTCCGACGCGGGCTGCAATGATTGCTGCCAAGCGCAGCTCATTCCTCCACGTCGAGCACACACTCGCCACGAAGAGCAGGTTCAAAAGCACACAGCCAAATGCTGATAGCACAATGGCCCAGCGACTCCGCTGTTGAATCCATGGCTTCGTGAGGAGCTTTACCTGCAACGAAGCCCCCAGGAAGTTCGCCACGAAGGCAGAGCCGATAATGAAGCCGGAGGTGCTGGCGCCGTAGCCCAACAAGGTGGCTAAGCCATAGGAGGATGGAAGGGCCACGCTGCTCTGGACAAAGTAGCTGAGGAGCGTGGTAAGATGGAGCAGCTGCAGCGCTCGGCGCCGGGCGGCCTCCGGCGCGAACGAGGCGAGCGCGCCCGCGACCCCAAGAAGCAGGGCGAGCAGAAGCACCGCAAGAGCCGCGGGCACCGCTGCAGCCCCTAAGAGCCCTTGAGAAAGCAGCTGTGGGCCATGGCTGTGCGCTAGCCCGGGGCGCAGCTTCATTGTGACGGGGAGCCAAGCCTCAAAGAAACGAAAAACGAAGGAAGGGCTGTTGAAATCCAGTTTAGGGTTTGGGGTTCTAGGGTGTAGGGTGTAGGGTTTAGGGTTTAGGGTTTAGGGCTTGAGGAAGCGTGATGCCCAGGACTCGCCAGGCCAAACCTAAGTTAGCTCTACAGACTGGCGCCAGGTCCTCTCCCTAAACCATAAACGGACATTCTCACAGAAACTCGCCGTGATGCAACATGGGTTCTATTTTCTGTTCGCGAGCAGGACAACTAGGTTAGGCAGGCGGTTTTCTCAGAGGGCCCAGCCTACACCCTCCACACCCTAAAACTCCTAGAGCCCTAACCCCTTAAGCCCTAAGCCTTTAGGATGTTCCCTTTATACGAACAGTCCGTTTCAAGGGGCACTATAGTCCCTATTAAGGACTGTTAGTGTAAGGGTGAACATCCCAACCTAAACCCCTAGAATCCTAATATCCAAGAATCCTCAAGCCCCCTACACCCTAAACCCGAGACCCGAACCCTAAACCCTAAACCCCTAGAATCCTAAACCCCAAAACCCCCTACCCCTGAGCCCCACAGCCGAGTCTTTTCTGCATCCGGCCCGGGGGCAACCCCTGGTGTTAGAGACTGCACCACCAGGTTCCGCAGAAAAGATGGAGGCTGATCTACCTTGAAAGCCAGTAGACTATAATTCTGGGCGACAGTTTCCTACTTTGGGGGGGTATAGTAGCCTCTTATTTTGGGTAACCAGGCGTTTAAGGTAGGTGATGGGCCTTTGGTTTGGGTCCTGGAGGGTTGGGGGCTTCGGGTTTTGGGTTTAGGGTTCAATGCTACATTCTGAGCGCTTGCGAGGTCTGTTGTGGCATAGTCCTTACTTCAGATACAAACAACTGGGTCCACAAAGTAGATCAACTTTCATATCCTGGTTCTGAAGGGATTGAAACATCTCGTGGCCATTGGCCCATGCCCGAGGCGCGCGAGCCCCCTGTACATGGCGGGTGCCAATCGTTCAGCAAGCCATGCAGCGAAGCCTTGATGAAACAAAGCTCGAAGGCGTGAACTCCGGGCTCACTTGAGCTCTGAGATCCTGCCCTAAACCCTAAACCCTAAACCCTAAACCCTAAACCCTAAACCCTAAACCCTAATCACCCCCTCAGGCAGCTTCCACAGCAGTTCCTGTTTCGAAGGGCCGTTCGGTGACCATTTCTACCACAGGCGGCGGTGGCGGCGGCTGCCGCAAGGAGTTCACAAGGCAACTCGCTTGATAGATCATCTGCTCCATGTGTGGCACAACGCCTTAGGCGTGCTGTCACCCCGGCCCAAAAAAAAAACTTCCATCTTTGCAGGCTTTGAAATGTACTCCAAGAAGCCCTAAACCCTAAACCCGAAACCCTAAACCCTAAACCCCAAACCCCTGAACCCTAAACTGCGCCATGAAGGCGCTGTAGAGGTCATCGATGGTGATGCCCAGCCTCTGCAGTTCCTCCTCGGCCCTGGCTTCGACTTCCTGCTTTTCATGGGCCGTCGCGGCCTGAAGCTCTTCGTCGTTCCTGGAAGACGGGGTTTAGGGGTTTAGGGGTTTAGGGGTTTGGGGGTTTAGGGGTTTGGGTGCTTGGAGGTTTAGGGGTTTAGGTGCTTGGGGGTTTAGGGCTTAGGGTTTAGGGTTTAGGGTTTAGGGGTGGAGGTGTTTAGGGGTTTAGGGTTTAGGGTGTTAGAGGGGGAGGCGGAAGGGGGGGGGGGGCCCTAGAAGAAGTCTTTGGGATTATGTGGCGTAAGCCCTAAACCCGAAGCCCTAAGTCAGTCCCAGGCTCAGCCCTTCGGTTCTGATCTGCACGGGAGGCACAATCTCTCGCAAACCCGTCTGCAAGCTGGAGGCTGCCACCACCTGGGACTCTTTAGGTGAGGGAACTCAGGGAACTTAAGGTTTAGGGTTTAGGGTTTAGGGTTTAGGGTTTTCGGGTTTTAGGGTTTTGGGTTTTGGGACTTAGGGTTTCGGGTTTAGGGCTAGGGTTTGGCGTTTCGGGTTTAGGGCTAGATTATGTGGCCGTGGTAGATCCAGACCATTCTTTGCTGCACGCCTCCGAATTTTTTGCGATGCATCCATATTCTGCCACACACATCTGTCAAGCACACCAAAATTTATGGGAACTGTGTCTCCATACTCTAAGTCGTAACCTATGTACATCATAAGTGCTATATATGCCTAAACCCTGAACCCTAAATCCTAAACCCTAAAGCCCCTAAACCTGAACAGCGAGCCCAGCCACGAGCCGGGGGAGCGCCAGGTTCATCATCGCCAGCGCCTGCTGTGCTCAAAACGCCCAGGGTTTATGATTTAGGGTTTAGGGTTTGGGGTTTGGGGTTTAGGGTTTAGGGTTTAGGGTTGAGGGTTGAGGGTTTAGGGTTTAGGGGCTGCTGGGGGTTTTGGGGTTTGGGGATTTTGGTGTTTAGGGTGTACGGTCGAAAATGACCCTGAATACAGCCCGAGAAATTCTCCATAGCTCTCCATGACAGAGAACACCTGAACCCCAAACCCCAAACCCCAAACCCCAAACCCTAAACCCTAAACTCTAAACTCTAAACCCCAAACCCTAAACCCTAAACCCTGGCCCTAAACCCTAAACCCTAAACCCTAAACCCTAAACCCTAAACCCTAAACCCTAAACCCTAAACCCTAAACCCTAAACCCTAAACCCTAAACCCTAAACCCCGGCCTCTTCTGCATTTGACGGAAAGGGCGGTCGGCTGTGTGGGGGCTCTCCCTGCCCCAAGCACGAGGCCCATTTCTGAACCTGTAGGAGACAATCCGGCAGTTTCGGGCTTTCCGGGGCTTGGGGTTTAGGGTTTAGGGTTTAGGGTTTAGGTTTTAGGGTTTAGGGTTTAGGGTTTAGGGTTTAGGGTTTAGGGTTTAGGGTTTGCGGTTTAGGGCTTAGGGTTTAGGATTTAGGGTTTAGGGTTTAGGGTTTAGGGTTTGAGGTTTAGGGTTTAGGGTCTAGGGTTTAGAGTTTAGGGTTTAGGGTTTAGGGTTTAGGGTTGAGGGTGTAAAGCCATCCTGGTTCTTAGTAGAGAGTCCTATATCCCCACTATGAACACCCTTTAAGGGACTCTGTAGGGGGAGAGTAGGGCACCTCATTCCCTCATTCTCTGCTAAGAGCCAAGGGGGCTTTTAGGGGTCTTGGGCTTTGGGCTTGGCTTAGGGCTGACGGCTTAGGGTTGAGGCTTTTGGGTGTTTAGGGTTTGGGGTTTAGGGTTTAGGACTTTGGGGCTGGGATTTCGGGTTGCTCCCGTACGCCCAGAAATCCTCTGCGGGCCAGCTGCATTGTAGCTGGCAGCCTTCAGGGGGGTAGGGTTTAGGGTTTAGGGTTTAAGGTTTAGGGTTTAGGGCGCAAGCTCGGCACAGGAAAGGCATGAAACGAATAGGATCGAGCATCTCACAACCCCTAACCCCTGAACCCCACCTGAAACCGTGAAACCCTCAACCCTCAGCCCGAAACCCTAAACCCTAAACCCTAAACCCTAAACCCTAAACCCCAACCCCCCCCCCCCCCCTCACAAACCCACGCCTGCACGCCATATGACAGCTTGACCACGTCCTCCGCCTGTGTTGAGGTGAACTCGCCTCTCCGGCTCATGGTCTGGAGCCTCCGAAAGCGGCGTAGGGTTTAGGGTTCAAGGTTTAGGATTTAGGGTTTAGGGTTTAGGGTTTAGGGTTTAGGGTTTAGGGTTCAAGGTTTAGGGTTTAGGGTTTAGGGTTTAGGGTTTAGGGTTTAGGGTTTAGGGTTTAGGGTTTAGGGTCTAAGGTTTGGGGATGAAGATTGAAGGGTTAGGGGGAGGGCTGCAGTGCCAAAACACCATATGAGATGTTGCATTTTGTTTCGGGCTGAGGTCTCGGGATCTGCACGCATCCCTAAACCCTAAACCCTAAACCCTAAACACTAAACCCTAAACCCTAAACCCTAAACCCTAAACCCTAAACCCTAAACCCTGATGAAGGCACCTGTCGACCAGAAGCGTCGCAGCTTGAGCAATGGCACTTTGTAGGCCTCCGGAACAGCAACTGACACTCCACGGCCAAGGTAACATGGGTAGCTTGGGATGTTCCCCCCCCCATATGCTAACAGCCCTTCATGGGGATTGTAGTATTCCTTATTACAGTCCCTATTGAGGACTGTTTGCATTTGGGATTTAGGGTTTAGGGTTTAGGGTTTAGGGTTTAGGGTTTAGGGTTTAGGGTTTAGGGCTTAGGGCTTAGGGTTTAGGGTTTAGGGTTTAGGGGTTTGGGCACATCCCCCCCTGAGTAGCCGTAAAGAGCACAACACACTGGGGCCCGGTCGAACTGCAAACTGGCGCAGAGGAACCCGGCTCGCACAGCCTCGGACACAGAGACAAAGAGTAGCCCAACTGGGTTTAGGGCTTGGGGTTTAGGGTTTAGGGTTTAGGGTTTAGGGTTTAGGGTTTAGGGTTTAGGGTTTAGGGTTTAGGGTTTAGGGTTTAGGGTTTAGGGTTTAGGGTTTAGGGCTGAAGGTTGAGGGTGTCGGGATCCGAGCGCCGGGCCGGTATCCGCCTGTGACATGGGGCCACCAAACTCGAGTTTGGGGCCTTCCGTGCAGAACCGTCCTGTGGCAACAGCTGGGTTTAGGGCTTAGGGCTTAGGATTTCGGGTTCTGGTCCAGGCTTTCAGGCTTAGTTAGGGCTTCGGGTCTAGGTTCATGGCTCAGGCATGAGGGCGACTCGGGTTTAGAACTTAGGGTTTAGGGGTTTCGGGCTTCAAGTGCTTTCGGCGCCACGGGCTGTGAGGAGAGCACTGCAGTGCGCTAAACCCCAAACCCTGAGCCGTCTCTATCACGTGCAAACTTAAATGTGATTAGCTTTCCGGTAGTAGTCTTCCGGGCCCTCTTGGACCAGTGCTATTACCTTTCCGGGCCCTCGGGGACACATGTTGTTAGCTTTCCGGGGACCAATGTTATGAGCCATCCGGACCCTCGTCCGGGACTTATGGGACATGTTTTTTCAACAGGACTTGGGGGACCAAGGCATGAGCAACTGAAACGTAAAGGGTTAAGACCCTGTATTGTCTTAATGTTATGGGATTCTTTGGGCGGGTGGGTTGTTGTCTAAGTCTATGCTAAACCCTAAGCCCCCTAAACCCTGAACCTAAACCCTAAACCCTAAACCCTAAACCCTAAACCCTAAACCCTAAACCCCAAACCCCTAAACCCACGGGTCGCACCTGTCGTTTCCTCGTTTGGAGGCATGAGGGCGCTCCCAAAGAAGCCACAAAAGGCACCCTCGGGCATCGGGAGCAACTTCGGGCTCAAGGCATCCTTGGAAAAAGAAGCGAATAAGGTTTAGGGTTTGGGGGTTTAGGGTTTAGGGTTAGGGTTTAGGGTTTAGGGTTTAGGGTTTAGGATTTAGGGTTTAGGGCTTAGGGTTTAGGGTTTAGGGTTTTAGGTCTAGGAACAGGGACTGGCTGGATTTAGGGATTTGGGTGGGCCTAGGGCTAGAGGGTGCGCAACCCCACTCCGGGATCCCCAAAAATTGCTGCACGCAGCCCCCCTCGCATGGTTGCAACCCCACCCCCTAAACCCTAAACCCTAAACCCTAAACCCTAAACTCTAAACCCTAAACCCTAAACCCTAAACCCTAAACCCTAAACCCTAAACCCTAAACCCTAAACCCTAAACCCTAAACCCCACCCTTCGCGGCCCAAGGCTCATCCCCCACAGCGCCCAGCTTGAAATGAAAGGCTCCCTTCTTCTTGGGCGAGTTGGCGGCTGGTGAGACTCCCCGGCGCCCTGGCAAAGGCCGAGCCTCAAAAGCAGCCCGGCTGAGGGTTTAGGGTTTAGGGCCTTAGGGTTTAGGGTTTAGGGTTTAGGGTTTAAGGTCTTGGGTTCAGGGTTGGGCTTTTGGGGAAGAGTTTAGGGTTTGGGGCGGGGTTGAGGGTTCAAGGGTTTAAGGGTTCCAGGGTGTACGGGTTTAAGGGTTGAAGGGTGCAAGGGTTTAAGGGTTGAAGGGTCTCAGGGCTTCAGGGCTTAGGGGGTTTTCGGAATTCGGGCTTTCAGGGCCATTTGCAAAAAGCCGCGCCTTGGCAGGCTTGAGACCTCCGGGTTTGGATGGGCTTGACATCTGCTCTTGTCGCTCTCTGGCAACAAGGCAAGAAGCTTGAAAGCAAGTCACGCGCCCTTGTGCGCAGCTGAGCCTTCCCACAGCTGCAAGAAGACACAACTCCAGATGTTCTCCAGATGGGGGGTGTTTGCGATATTCGGGGTACCTTTTGGGGGGTCCATATTCGGGGTCCCTCTTATTTTCGTAAAACCCCAGATGCTGCCTGAATGACTGATCAAGCATTCAGCTTGCTGCCCAACCGACGATTGTAGCATTGCGACCTCTTTTGCACCCACGCTCGAGCAGCCTCATGCACCACCACTCCCTCTTGGGAGTACAACTGTATGAATACGTTGATTTACAGCTCGACTGGACTCACTAGACAGGACATGTCTCATAAAACCAAGATCCTCCAAGCCAATACACGCCACGAACTGGTCCGCAACCCTATTACGATCAATACGGATAGAGCTGACATTGCCCTGACTGCAGCTGCAACAATCGGGAATTTGCTCGCATCACCATTGCCGGCATCCCAAATACAAAGTAGCGCTGTGCTCTGTCTACTAGAGTCCTCCATACCCTTCTCACATTCCCTCCAAAACGGGCGTCACAAAAAAAGCACGTCTTGTCGTCGCTCGGGTTTTTGGGGGGTCTTGCCGCCCACCCCCACAAAGCCCCCTCGCCAAGGTCGAACATGAGGGGTTGGGTTTAGGGTTTAGGGTTTAGGGTTGAGGGTTGAGGGTTTAGGGTTTAGGGTTTAGGGTATTGTTTAGGGTTTAGGGACACCCTAAACCAGAAACACTGGAGGTTGGCCCATCACGAGTCAGCATCAGCGTCACCTGCGTTGTACAGTGATCTTCTGCTGGTTTTTGCTTGCGATTGTTACAATGACGACTGCCACTACTATGAATACTTTGGTTTCTTGCTACGATTACAATTGTCAATCTATGCTGATTTCCACTGTCCTCATGTCGACGACGACGACGACGACGACGACGACGACGACGGCGGCGACGAATGCTAACAACAATAGCGCAAGGACGCTCGTAATCCTAATTGCTTTATTTGGTTGAGGCTTTCGGTTTCAGGGTGTGGGGTTGAAGCTTTAAACAAACCGGATTGCTTCCCTAACCCTAAACACTGGACCCAACACCCTAGGCCTAAACCCTAAAACCCTGAACCCGAAACCCGCCTGTGTCTTCGGATCCCATTGCCTCTGGCGTTCTCCGAGGGGCTCTTGCGCCGCTCCTGGAGCCATGGGAGCTAAGCCTGCTCGGCCTGCCCAGGCAGGAGTTTCCAAAAAGGGGTTTAGGGTTTAGGGTTTAGGGCGTAAGGTTTAGGGTTTAGGGTTTAGGGTTTCGGGTGTGGGGCTGGTCCTTTGGGGTACTTGAGGGAATCCCAAATTTTTGGAACATGCCATGTGGCTTTGCTTTTTGGTTTGGGGTTCTGGGGCGACCTATGCGAACATCAGAAGATCTACGTCTCATGGTGGTAGACCTGCCTCGTGGACTTTCAACGCTCACACCTCATCTGGGCGCCACACTTCTTCTGTTCTGACAGAAGAGCTTCAGTCATCGAACTTTGGTGCGGGCTCGCAACACGAGCGGCCGGGAGCCCAGCCTTTCCAGCCATTGGTAAAGAAGAAGTAGTCTGCAGCGATGTCGTGCTTATGAACAGCGATGTCGTTCTTATGAAAATTGTGAAACTGAGGAAAGGCTCGGCAGATAGGACTTTAAAAATGTAAGACGTTCTAAGCGGCAGCTGTGAAACCCACAGGCATACGCCACTCCAACGAAAACCAGCATGAAGGCAACGAAATCCCTGCAAACCCCTACACCCTAAACTCTAAACACCTAAACACCCAAACCCCTAAACCCCTAAACCCCTAAACCCCTAAACCCAGAAGTTGGGAGCGGACACTCTCTGCCTGGCGAGGGCTTCAAGGAAGAACTTTCTGCCTGAGGGGGAACTCTTATCTTCTTCTCAAGCCGCTTTGGGCAATATGTTGCTGCCTTGGGCAAAGCAACTCTTCATCCGAAAGCTCAGGGGTACAGCTGCTGCGCAACATGGTACAGCTGTTGCGCAAGATGTGCTGGGGTCTGGGTCTGTGCCTGTCGCTGACAGCACATAACTTTCGACGTGGATCCGCTTCGCGGCCATTAAAGATGCGGATCCGCTTCGCGGTCCTTCAAAACTCGCACAAGAAACAAGAAAACTAAAGCTGAGTGGTCCCTTTGTTCTCAACATCTTGGGTACTCTGAAATCGTAATGATATAAACGCACGCCCCAAAGGGACCATAATGTCACGGGATCAAAACTGTAGCCTGTTGTGACACTTCTCGATGTACTTAGAAGCTCATGGTCTCACTGTGGACGCGCACCGGCGCCTCCTCAAGTTCGATCACGACGGAGTCCTCGTCGAAGAAGGCTAAGCCAAGCTCTGCCAGGTCGGCATTCGAAGGGAAGCTTGAAGGGGAGACCTCCCCGAGATCAGCTTCCATCACCCGATTGTCAGGCTCTGACTCTGGAGACTCTGGAGACTCTGGGGACTCTGGAGACTCTGGAGACTCGGGTGCAGCCCGAATATTCGCCTCCTGGCTCACCTCACTCGCCTTCGCCTCATTCCCGGCAGCTGCTTGGGCAGGCTTCGGGGCTGCTGGCCTTTGGTAGCTTCGTCGGACCAAAAGGGTGGCACCACACATGAGCCCCAAAGCAGCCAGGCCGGCAGCGATGATGAGGACTGTCACGCCGGGCCCCAGGCCGCCCGCAACCTCGGCGGCTTCGGGTTTTGGGCTTTTGGGGTTTCGGGGTTTGGGGTTTGGGGTTTGGGGTTTGGGGTTTGGGGTTTGGGGTTTGGGGTTTGGGGTTTGGGGTTTGGGGTTTGGGGTTTGGGGTTTGGGGTCCTCGAGTAAGAGTCTGAAAGTACTCGTCTGGTACTTTTCGGATAGCGGATAGAGGTCTATCCGCAAAGGCCTAGACCCCTACCCCCGCACCTCTAACCCCGGGCCTATACACCCCTTATCCACGGGGGTCTGTATGAAACGGTTACATAGCTATGCCGCGGCCTGTTGGATAGGGACCTATATATATATATATATATAGAGGGGGGGGTGACCCTAACATAGACCCTATTTCCGATAGGGGTCTATCTGTCTCCTACGTCTGCAGGTTCACCTCACCTCTGTTCCGTAGTGCTTCACAGACGATGCGAGGGCGACCTCACCACGTTTTACTGGAAGATGTGACAAGATAAACTTCCAGCGCGAGAACTTCTGAAAGGAAACCTGCTGTAACAAAGTCGCGTTTTTCCCTGCGCGAGGACTTCAAGAAGGGAGCTTTTTCCCTACAGGTCCTATACGACATGGCAAGATAGTTTCCGGCACGAGCACTTCCGCAAGGAAAACCTGCCGTAACAAAGTGGCGCTGTTTTCTTACGAAATGGCAAGCTAAAGGCACTCGATTTATTCACTGTACGCAATGACAAGATAAATTTCCGGCGCGAGCACTTCTGGAAGGAAAACCTGCCGCAACACAGTGGCGACTTCCTCCCTATTCGGCATGGCAGGACAAATTTCCGGCGCGATCACTGCTGCAAGGAAAACTCGCCGTAACAAAGTGGCGCTTCTTCTTCTTCTTCTCTAAAAGGGAAAGCCTGCCGTAACAATTCGTTGTTTCCCCTAAAGGCCCAAAGGAAAACCTGCCGTAACAAAGTGGTATTTTTCCCTTATCCGACATGGCAAGAAAAATTTCTGCCACGAGCACTTTTGCAAGGAAAAGCAACCGTATCAAGTGGCGCTGCTTTTCCCGTACGGCATGGCAAGATAAGTTTCCGGCGCGAGCACTTTTGGCTACATGGCAGGATACATTTCCGGCGCGAGCACGTCTGGAAGAAAAACCTGCCGCTACAAATGGCGATTATTTCCCAATACGACATCTTCTCTAAACAAAAACTGCCGCAACAAAGAGGCGATTCTTTCCCTATACGCAAGGACAAGATACATTTCCGGCGCGAGCACTTCTACAAGGAAAACCTGCCGCAACAAAGTGGTGCTTTATTCCCTTCCAAGATACAAAATTCCGGCGCGAGCACTTGCGGAAAGAAGACTCGCCGTACGCATTCATTACTCAGTCGCTTCAGCAACACATCCCCACTCACACATGCACAGACATGCAAACACAGCTATTCAACTAAGTTTGTTGGGGGGTCTATGGAAAAAGAGAAGGGGTCCATGTGTTGGGGTCTGTACTATGCGAAGCGGCTAGGGCCTATGCACAGGGTTCGGGCGAAGAAACGGAGGGCCTGCAGCAGAGGCACCTATCAAAGTCTTTGATAGGGAGTCTAACCGACGCCTATCATAGGGGGGAATTCGTTCTGGACCTATCTTCGGGCTTAAGGGTTTAGGGTTTCGGGTTTAGGAATGTTAAAGGTTTAAGGTTTAAGTTTTGGGGTGCCGCCCAACAACAGACACGGCTTCTGGCGTAGCGTCCGCGACGGCGATGGAGACTTCAAAGGCCGCGATCGAGTCCACTTGAAAGCCCGTTCCTGCCAAGTTCTGGTTCAGCACCGCCTTCACCTGAAGTTTAGGGTTTAGGGTTTAGGGTTTAGGGTTTAGGGTTTGGGGTTTGGGGTTTAGGGTTTAGGGTTTAGAGTTTAGGGTTTAGGGTTTAGGCACCACTCTTGGTGGTTGCGTATGCTCTCTTGTGACTTAACTGCATGTTCCTTAACAGCACCCCGCGGGGGACCTGTCCCAGAGAGGAAGACTGCATGGAGCTCTTGACCGTCTCCGCCCACTGAAGGGCCAGATCCTCTGAGCCGAAGGCCCGGCTGGCGGTGTAATGCACGTGCACGGAGGGGCCTTCGGCGGAGAGGCTGAGCTCCAGGGAGGCGACCTGGGGGGGTTTCTACGAAGATCAGGGGCCCCTCTATGGTAGGATCCGCCCTTGTAAATTCAGGATCCCCAAATACTGTACAAACGTACCCCCTGATCTTCCAAAAAAAAACCCACCTCCACATCCAGCACCTGCGCCAGGGCCTGGAGCACGGCCTCCAGGGCTTGGGGGTCCTGTGCAAAGGTCTCGGAGATCTGCAGGCGCCGGCCCGAGCCCGAGGAGCTGAGCTGGATCTCGAGGGTGCCGCTGAGAAGCACGGTGCCGGCCCAGTAGGTGCTGGTGGTGGCCGTGGCCGTGGTGGTGAAGGTTGCCGTGGTGGCGGCGCAGCTCGGGAGGTCCCCGGAGAGGACGCCGTTGGGGCCACAAAGGAGGGTGCCAGGGCTACCGAGCCATCCGAAGGAGCAGTTCACCTCGCAAGTGCCATCCGTCGAGACGTTGTGGCAGTTGTGGGAAAACTCTGCTCCCACCGGGATGTTGTACTTGCACACGTCAGGAACGCAGTCAGGAACGCTTCCTGTGAGAGCATAGCCGTCGACGGCCGGAAGATTGCTGTCGACAACTGGCTCGCTGCTCCCCGGGCCTGCGCAGGTCCACTGCGCCGCGCCCGCTGCGCTGGTGAAGCCACTGCGGCAGAAGGCGAAGCAGGTGCCATCAGCGGTGACACCCGTGCAGGAGTGCTCCACATTTGGAATGCTGACTGTGCTGTTGCATTCCACTGGCAGGCACTCAGGCCGTTGGCCTGCGTTGATGCTGAGGTCAAGCATACAGGTGAAGGTGGCAAAGGTAGAATTCTCGGACGCGGGAGTGAAGCCCTGGCCGCAGGTCTGTGTACAGGATCCACCCACAGGCAGGTCCGTGCAGTTGTCCTGAAGGGCCCCACCGAAGGCCAGGTCGATGGGGCAAGTGAGAGCCTCGCAACTGGGCAGCGTGCCCGACAAGGTGAGCGAGCTGTTCATGAGAAAGCACTCCCAGACCTCCCCAAGTGTCCCTGAGGTCAGCTTGTACCCCTCGGCGCAGAAAACGGAGCACGTCCGCCCGAAGGGCACATCCTGGCAATTGTTGGCAAGGGACGGCTTCTGGACCGAGGCATCCAGAGGGCAAACGTCCGGGACACAGCTCGGTAGCAAGCCGATGAGGGCGCCCGTGGCATGGCAGGTTAGCTGTGCAGAGTTGGGGACCATCCCAGGCGAGCAGGTGACGTTGCAGGTCGAGCCGGTAGTGGTGCCGTCGCAGTCCTCGGAGTCGAAGCCGGCCGCCGGGACGGAGTTGGTGCACTGCTTGGGAACGCACACGGGCTCCGTGCCCATGATTGTGCCACTGGCCGAACACTGAAACTGGGCAGCCGAGCCCACAAGGGAGAAGCCCTCAGCACAAGCGACGCTGCAGGAATCTCCATAGACCATGTTTTGGCAACGGTGCTCGAAGTGGGATGCCAAAGCCAAGTCCTGGCATGCTGCTGGGACGCAGCTTGGGGTTTGCCCTTGAAACTCCCCTGTCGGGAGGCATTCGAAGGTTTCTGCATTTTCGGATCCGGACGCGTAGCTGTAGCCCTCCACTGTGCAGGTTGCCGTACACGTGCCGCCGGTGGCGACGCCGCTGCAGTTGTGCGCCACCCCGATGCTGCTTGGGAAGTTGTAGTTGCAAGGCACCGGGTCACACTGGGGAAGACTGCCATCCAGGACTCCATCTTGGCACAGCATCACAGAAGCGTCGCTTGTCAAGGCCCATCCCAAGCTGCAATGGCTGATGCACACGTCCGCATGGGCCATGGAGGCACAGCTGTGCTCGAACTTTGCCCCATTCAAGCCGAGGGTGTCCGCGGCCGAGGTACCACAGGCAGCGGTCAATCGCCGGGCGGCATTGGCACTGCATAGGACTTCCTGACCGACCGGCTCCACGCGGACGACCCCCAAGGTGCTGTTGGCCACACAGTTGTAGGGCTGCGAGCTGCCTGTGTAGCCTGTTAGGCAATATGCCCAGCACTCAGCCCCGATGGTCTTGTTCTCACAAGTACTCCCGACACCGGCGCCGAAAGAGGGAGTTGGGCAAGTGGCTGCTTCGATTGTGGGCAAAGGCCCTTTGAACTCCCCATCGGTTGCGCACTGGAGAGTGGTGGAGCCCCCAAGGGCAGTGAAGCCTAAACCAGCCCCGACTGTGCAGCTCTGCAGCGTGGTCTTGCCGCTGCAGTCGTGGACAATGCCTCGGAGGCTTGGCAGGTTGGCGGTGCACTCTCTGGCCACACAGGTCGGTGCATTGGAGCTGGCAGGCTGCAAGGTGCTGGCCTGCACATAGCCGGCGCTGCCGCTGCTGGGGTCGTGGCAAACCATCATGCTCGCGTTGCCTTGCAAGTCCCAGCCCGTGCGGCAACTAACTGAGCAGGTCTGGCCGAAGCTCTTCTCTTCACACGTTGACTCGAACTCCGGGGAGGAGAAGGGAGCGATGGCCGAGAGGTTTGCACAAACGGTCGCCTGACATTGGAAGGTTGGGCTACCCTGCGAGAAGGTCCCATCACTCTGGCAAGTCATGGAAGGGTCTCCGACACCCTGGTGTCCAAAGGTGCACTGCAAGGTGCAACTGCTCCCAGTGGTGGTGCCCTCACAGGCAGAGGTGTTGAGCCCAAGTCCCATGGACATTCCCGTCAGCTGGCACGGAAGAGCCGTGCACGTGGGCGTCTGGCCGATCAGCAAGCCATTGTCGCAGAGGAATTCTGTGGGAGCTCCCGAGTGCCCGGCCGTGCACGTGGCCATGCAGGTCTGCCCGTGCAGCTTCCCTGCGCAGTCGGTCGTGAAGGTGGCACTTGACAGTGCGCTGGGCACGGCGCACTCCTTGCGCGCGCAGCTCGGCTGAGCGCCCTGAAGCTGAAAGCTGCCAGTGCCTTGGCAAGTGTAGGTTCCTGCTTGGCCGTCATAGCCGAACTTGCAGCTCACCTGGCAGCTATTTCCAGCGGTGACCCCCACGCAGCTCGTGACATTCAGGCTCGGGTCCTGCGGCAAGGTGTCCGCGCTGCATTGTATCGGCACGCAGGTCGGAGCCGTGCCGGAGAAGCCGCTGACCTGGCAGGTGAAGATGGACTCGGCCGTCACGAAGCCTGCGGGGCAGCGAACGAAGCAGAAGGAGCCGGTTTGGGTGCTGCTGCAGTCGCTGATGTCCAAGTCTTGTGGCAAGGATGAGGTTGAGCAGGTAGCTGGCGTGCAGGAAAGGGCCGGGCCCGTGAAGATGCCCGAGAACGCGCAGCTGTACTGCGCCGGGCCCCCCTCAAAGCCAGTGTCGCAAGTTACCGAACACGTCTCCCCCGAAACCTTGCCCGAACAATCGCTGGTTACCACACCTTGACCTGAGGGTAGACCGCCACTGCAAGGGACAACAGGTGGGGCTGTAGTCGTTGTCGTCTCGCCCGGGGGCACGTTCGGATCTACGGTGAGAGATGCTGTGGTCGAGGATGTGGTTGATGACAAGGTTGACGTGAGAGTGGTGGTGGTAGTGAACGATGTGGTAGTTGAGGTGGTTGTGTACGATGTGGTAGTTGAGCTTGTCGTTGATGTGTTCGTGATCGATGTTGAAGAACTGGAGCTGCTGCTGGAGGACGTCGTCGTCGTGGAGCTGCTTTGTGTAGAAGACGTCGTGGTTGCACTGCTGCTGCTGCTGGAGGACGTCGTAGTCGAGGTGCTGCTCCAGGAGGTTGTCGTCGTGGTGGTACTGCTTTGTGTAGACGATGTCGTGGTTGCACTGCTGCTGCTGCTGGAGGACGTCGTCGTGGAGGTGCTGCTCTTGGAAGTTGTCGTCGTCGTGGTCATGCTTTGTGTAGACGACGTCGTGGTTGCACTGGTGCTGCTGCTGACGGACGTCGTCGTCGTCGAGCTGCTTTGTGTGGACGACGTCGTGGATATAGTGCTGCTCGAAGTCGCCGTGGCGGATGTGCTGGTGATGGTGGTGGATGATGTCGTTGTCGAGGAGCTGCTGCTTGTCGATGACGTTGCGGAAGTAGTTGAGCTTGAAGAAGTCGTGCTGCTGGTTGTCGTCATCGTAATGCTTGAACTTGAGGTCACGGTCGAACTTGTTGAGGTCAGGCTTGTACCCGTCGACGTAGTGTCCGTCGATGTAGTCTTTGTCGATGTAGTGTCTGTGCTTGATGTCTGCGTCTGGGTGGAAGAGGTAGACGTCGTCATGGTTTGGCTTGTGGAGGTGGATGATGTTGTTGAACTGGTGGTTACGCTGTTGGACGTAGAACTCGAAGTCAGGCTGGTTGATGTTGTGCGAGAAGTAGAGGTGTCGGTGGATGTGGTAATCGTCACCGACGTCGCCGTCGAGGTCGTCAGTGTCTGGCTGGTTGAAGACACCGTTGTCTGAGTTATGGATGTTGATGTCTGCGTGCTTGTGGTTGTTGTCAGCATCTGCACAAAAACATCCAGCTCTCCGTATGAGTTGGTGTCCTGTGGGTCAAACTCTGTGCCGCCCACCAAGTAGATGTCGCCGCTTGATCGTTCGATCAGTCCTTTGCCCTGATCAATCCGATCGCTCCCCATAAACGTGGTCGAGACATAGGTTGGGCTTGCCGAGTTCCCCACATCCGTGTACTCCACGACGAAAGCATCTCCCGATCCGAGGGTGGCGGCGCCGTCGAAGCTAAAGGAGCTCGTGCCTGCCACCAGGACGCGATAAGGGTTCGCAGCGATGGAAACCAAGAGCCCATGTATACTCTCATCTCCGCTGCTGCCATGCTGGCGCGTCCACTTCCAGTTGCCGGAGGCGTCGAACTTCATGATGAAGAAGTCCTTCCCGCCGTAGTGGGTCTGACCATCGATGGACCCGTATGTGTTGCCGGTGACGAAAACCTCCCCGCTGTTGTGATTCACCGCCACGGCAGAGCAGTCGTCTGCTGCTGAGCTCCCTCGCTGTGCAGACCAGACCTCTGTGACTGCGCTGTTGAACCTGATCACGAGAACATCCGAAGAGCCTGCGTTGCTTTTCGATGGCCAGGCGCCCTCGGTCTTGCCACACAAGTAGAAGTCACTGCCAGCCTGCGCCAAGCTGTAGGCATAGTCATTCTGATCGGTGCCAAACTGGTAGGTCCCAGCAAGGCTCCCATCTTGGTAGTACTTGTAGATGATGATATCGTCATAACCAACTTTTCCTGCCACGTCCCCACCTGTGGCCCCCGCCGCGTAGATCTCGTTGCTTGGGCCGACTGACACAGCAGCAAAGTGGTCATTAGAGGTGGTACCCACTTGGCGTCCCCACTGAAGGGTTCCGGTTGTATCGTAAGCCATGATGACGGCATCGGAGAAGTCCGCGGTGTGAAAGATGCTTGGGGCACCGAGGTTGGTCCCGAAGTCCTCCATGTCACCATAGGTGAAGCCCACAATGATCACATAGGAGCTCGTCTTGCTGATCGCCTGCATGTGGCTCTTCTTCCAAGAGGTTCTGGACTTGGGCTCGACGTCCCAGTCGAAACGGGTCCTGAGTGGTGCAGAAAGAAGCCCTTTGGAACTCACCTATGACCCAGGTTCCCTTAAAAAGGGAAAGAGGGCAAAAAAGCCCTAAAACCCTAAAACCCTAAACCCTAAACCCTAAACCCTAAACCAATACCCCCTACACCCAGGGTCTGATCCGCGTAGTTCCAGGTGCTTGGCGCCGTGATCGGCTCCGAGATCTTGATCAGCAAGCCGTTGAAGGCATCGGGCTCGTAGGTGATGCCATCCTGGCCTTGCCATCCGGTCCTTCATTTTGGGGTTTAGGGTTTAGGGTTTAGGGCTTAGGGTTTAGGGTTTAGGGTTTAGGGTTTAGGGTTTAGGGTTAGGGTTTAGGGCTTAGGGCTTAGGGCTTAGGGCTTAGGGCTTAGGGTTTGCCATCCTGTCCTTCGTTGGCTGAGTCTCCAATAAAAAAGAAAAAAAACACAAAAACCGCCTGTGGGTCTTACAGGGATTCCCCCAGAAAGTCCCAACAAAAGGTGTGTAACATGCCCACTCATTCAGCTACGAAGTGTCACAATCAGGTGCCCGTCGAACTCCACGATGCCGTTATTCGCGGCGACGTCATCTTGCGAAGTGCCGGTCTTCAGGTAAGTGTATCTCGCACGCCAGTCTGATGTCCACCAAGTGTCGGCCACCGCAAAGGGCACGAGGGTCCCGAGAGACAACACTACCGGGCCCATGACGCCCATGATTCCCATGATTCCCCCGGAGGAGAGAGCTCTGTTCAAAAAAATCCGCTTCCTTCCTCTATCAAGAGGCTTTGAGTCTTGATCCTGGAGGACAACCAACGTGCCAGCATGTGTCATCAGAAGGATCCTCCCTCCGCAAGCAACAAATCTGAGACAAGCTGAGTGGCTCGGCAGCCATAAATGAAGCATACGTTGTCTTTACGAGTAGTGATGCATCATACTGACCATGATACCACAACTTGCTCAGTAATGCGAAGAGTTCGGCCCCAGGATGATCGCACCCCCTCTCGGTAAGGGACGCCTGATTTCGAAAACCCCCAACTGTGATGAAGGAAGTCTGACACATCAGGGGCCTTCATGTCTTGTTGCTGCCGCCGCAGGTCGGCATCTGCCTGGGGTAAATGTTTGGGTTTAGGCTTGGGTCTGGGGTTTGGAGTTTAGAGGGCTGCTCAAAGTCATTAGAGGCCGAAGTGGCTCTTCTATCTCCGGTTCATATTTCTCAGCTCCTGTCCCATGAGCATGGGCATGAATCAGCCCTTGCAAGCCTTTCTTAAGGTTCTTATTCGCTTTGACCCATGCCATGGGCGTCTTAGCCATGCCTTGGAAGCGCCAGTTTGCAACGGAAGCCTAAGAAGAAGACATTGCGACAAGTTCCGCTTCGCTTTGCTTCCACACCTCCCTGGGACGATACCCATGATACTACAAGCAATTTGGGTTTGAGAAGTCTCGGGGAGGAGAATGACTACTGACCAACGAAAGCACAACGACGATTGGAAATACTTGGAAAGCGTGATAGAATCTGATCGAATAGCTCATGCATGATGGAAGATCCATGTACTCTCTGGTCATCAGTTGGGCACATGTCGCGGCAGCTTCTACAGGTAGACACAGCAAAAGCAACGGCACCATAGTGGAAGCAGTTCCTTCCTAGCACCTACCTACCTACAACCCCTCCTAAACCCTAAACCCAAATCCGTAAACCCTAAATCCTAAACCCTAAACCCTAAACCCTAAACCCTAAACCCTAAACCCTAAACCCTAAACCCTAAACCCTAAACCCTACCTACCTACCGACCTAGCTACCTGTCCACCCGGCCTACCTGCCCATCCGCCTACTTTCTAGCTGACTAGCTAGCTAGCAATTCAGGAGGCCGCTGCTGAAGGCCCCACCGAAGAGGAGCCAGGATCCGGAGGCGGAGTCGTAGGTTGCGGCGTGCTGTTCCCGCCTTGGGGGCCGGGGAGCCTCCGGCCGGAGCTGCACCCAGCGCCGGGCCTCGCGCGCGGGCATTTCAAAGGCCTTAAGTGGGTGCTGGGACGGGAGGGGAGGGGCTGGAAGCTGCCACGATGCAGGTAGTGCAGGTGAGAATGGCTTCACTGCTACCAGCAGTGGCTGGTATCTTCGGATCGGGTTGTGCTTTTTTTGCAAGGCCTCTTGCCTTTCACAACTTGAGGGCAAATTCTTTGAGCAGGTGTCCTTTGCATTCCTTTGCAGAGTGTACTTGATTTGCAATGTGTTAAGTCGGTACGCTCTTTCACCTGCAGTGAATGCTTTGTCGGAAAAACCTTGCCCAAAGACTGAGATGGATCATGTTGCGCTTCTGGTTTTGAATACCGGCTTTTGGCATTTGGGGACAAAGAATGCGTTTGGCTTGTGGGGGCACCTACAAGGTTTTGCCACGACTACTTGGAGGTTCGTGGTACTTGTTAAGCAGTTATACCTGTACTTATCACCCATGTTCTAAGCCCTTAAGTGCCCCAATATGGTTCTAAGTACAGTTATAAGTGCAGTTACACTTGGTGAATAAGTACCATGAACCTCCAAGGGGAGGGGGGGAGGGAACCCGGATCTTTCAACGGAGGTCTCCCACAGTCCTGCGGCAAATGGTCCCAGCTCCTATGGAGGTCTCATGGAATACTGGGTTTTGGCCTTGTGGGTTCTGGTTTCTGTCTCGGGAGCGAGCATCCAGATCGGCTTAAAGCACGTGATGCTACGTGATGCTCCTTACTCCGCAAACGGGCAATCGATCCGTCATCGATGCAAGCATGCAGAATTCACGCGCGCAACTGCCATGATATTTAGTGAGGCGAGTTCTGCGGCTTGAATAGAGTAGAAAAGAGCGTTTTCTTCAAAGCAGGCTGGCGTTCGGGCGACCAAGATGCGTCATGACGTCATGTCTTCAAGGCTCGCCCAGCAGATGCCAGAACAACCCCCACCTCCCTGTTATGGGCTTGGTCCGTCGCCGCCAAGAGTTGCTGCTAGGTCCACGCCAAACACAAGCCCAACAACATACAGAATCAGAAAGACCCGCACCACACAGCCGCACAGCCCCATTCCATGCAGAGTTCTCCCTGGCTCTCTCCCTGGCTCTCTCCCTGCGCACTCCTCAAGGTCAAAAGTCCAGAGGTCACCCAAGGTGCCGTCTCCACCTCGGCATCGCAGAGGATGCGGGGCTTCGGCAAGCTACTTTTTGCAGCGTAAAACCTCTCGGGCTGGGCCGACGGACCGTCGTAACCGCCGAAGACCAGCAGCTGCCCGGCGGCGCAGGCGGACGTGTGCTTAGCCCGCCCTCGAGGCCCCTCCGCAGCCTGGATCTCCTCCCAGTGCTGGGCCTTTTCAGGGACATGCTTGGTTTCGCCTCATTCGGGGCACACACCCAGGATGCCCCCGACCACTTGACTTCCCGGCTCCACACCAAAACAATATGCTGAAAGGCTTTCCTTCTCAGGGACTTGGGTTCAGGCAAGAGCCCCTGAATCATGTCAAGACTTATTTGCAGAAGGCTGCTGTGAATGATCTGCCTTCTTCGTTTCCTGTTGCTGTTGTAAGTTCTGTATTTTTGTTCCATCATCTATCGATTTGGGTGGCTCATGCGTTTCCACCTCAAGTACTCATTCCTCCTCATCTTCTCTCATTTTTGGGGCTCGGTTCCTCCAATGGTTCATATCATAAATCCGTTTTGTTGTTGATGTTCTTCGGGATCGTCACAGAGCCGGCCTGACGAGATGATAAACACCTTATGCAAAGACTTCTGCAGGGTGCATTTGGAAAACTCAACTCGACCAAGCAATGGTGCGTTATGATTCTCAGCCCCCTCAAGAGCCAAAATCCTTACCCCTTCCCCTTCACCACTTTCTTGGCCCCGGGCCTCCGAAAAGCAGCATAACGTGGGCTGCTTCTTCCTTGGAACGAAACGAACCCTAAAAGGGTTTATGGCTCATATACCTTATAGTAGTATAGGGTATATAACCCCAATTTTAGGGTTTATTTCCTCCCCAAGGTTCGTAACTAGCCGAATGCCCGTACCTGGCTGCCGGCCGCCGGCCGCCTGGCCGCAGCTTCACCCAGCACTCGGCCTCTGGCGGGGCAAAAAAAGCTGTACACGCAGGGTACCACGGAAGCGGTATGTGTCCAGAATGTTACTGCGACTTGGAGGCTCCTTTTTTGCAACAAAGGGAGCAACTCAAGGGTGCTGACATTGTTTTGGCATGCTCTTGAGAAGGGCTGCTCTGGCAGCATCAGGAACGGCGATCTGCCAAGAATCGGTGACTGCGCGTCCACAATTCTGCTTTCCCCCCAATCTTCAATAGGGTCCTGAACCCCTAAACCCTAAACCCGAAATCGGTTAAGCTGGGCCCTAGACCCTCAACCAGCCCCCAACCCGGCCTTCGGACAGGTAGCAGTAAGATATCAAGAAAGACAGTTTCTTTGTAACGAAGAAAAGAATCATTCAACAAAGTGAGAAGGAATTGTTGCGAATGTGCTGAGCGCGGAGCGGCCGAACGTGCGAAATCAGGTGGCGCAATGATTACACACCACTCCAGCAAGTAGCTGATGCGCTCGGGCGCATGTAGCAAGAGAGGCATTTCGGATGCAAATGTAGTTCGAACTTGATTTCTTCGCACTGTTTTGTCGCATTCCGGGTCCTAACGGGGGGTCTGCGCGCATAATTCAAGAAAAGGAAAAAGGAGGAGTCTTGCACTGCGTCAAATCTCACGAACTTCGTTTCTGCACATGTCCCGAACAACCGACCTAAGAACAAGTTCTGATGTTGTTCAACGACCTGGCTCGAACGAACTATGATGGTGTGTCTCGGCCATGTAACGTGAATTTGAGCCCAGGCACCACGCAATGCCTGAGAGCCTGCTGCCCAATCCGCGACAGTGACATCAAACAAGCAGAGGGTCTGCTTTGGCCAGCTGTGTGCGGCTGGGTTTTAGGCTTCCGTGTCTTGTGTTGCGTAGTGAAATCCGGATGTCGGTGCTTCATTCTGCTTTTTTCTTTGAAAGAAGACTTGGCTACAAGATGCAACCGCAAAAAATATCCTTCAAGGCTGCAAGCCCGCCGCCCGCAGGCGTTCGTTACAGAGTCTCCCGTTTAATTGATGCTGTGGGATTGCTGGGATTGCTGGGAACTTCGTGTTCAAGGTATTGAGGGTCATGGTGGCTAGGAAGTGTGGTAGGTGTTGAGGGTACATGGTGGCCAGGAAGTGGATCCCTTCATCCTGTCCAAATGGTTACATATATGGTTACCCCTTCGTCCCTCACAGTGCAAGGGCTCCACGTGCTATACTTCTACGAGTTGATGCTACTTTATACCCCCAGCTCGACCTATTCCTTGGTGGAACCCACTGTGGGCGTCTCTCTCTCTCTCTCCCTCCCTCCCTCCCTCCCTCTCCGACATCGCAAAAAATCAGTGTTCAGGTTGATACGGCGCGTAACCATGCTGTTGCGAGCCCTCCCACCTCTTCACAAAAAATCCTCTAGAACAGAACAAGTATGTGTCTGTCACTGTCCGACCCCTTTTCTTGGGTTGCGGGGGGGGGGGGGGGTTCGGGGTCGACCTGGGCGGGCAGAGTCAAGCCCCAGAGCCCATCGACAGCTCTTTCGGGGGTTCAGAGCCTTCAAGTGTACGGTCGAGGAAGCTCTTGCATGATCCAGCCCTCAAAAAGGGGGGAAGGAGTGTCGGAGGCGCGGTCAAGCTGCGCGCATCTGTGCGGGGGGCTCAGGCAACTCTCTAGGGCAGCTCTCAGGGCCCAGCAATCTGCGTCGGAGCCCCCGAAGATGACCATGGCATGGGCCGCCGAGTCAAGGATCGCGGAGTGGCCGTAGCACGCTGAGGGCCACGAGGGCCAAGGCCCGTTGTTTTTTGGCCCGCTGGCCTGGCCCAGCACCGCCCACGCCTTCGCCTGCTGTTCTTTGTTTCAGGGGTACAAAAGGGAGAGCAAGGGGGATGTAAAGTATCGGGGCTCTCTATGCAAACGCAGGCAGCCGAAGCGGATGCCGGGCCTCGAGGCTGAAGGCCCGGACGTCGTTGAACATTCCGCCAGCCCCTAGAGCCGACGCAGGCACTGAGAAAAAAGGAGAAAAGGAGAAAAAGAAAGGCGGAGGAGGAGAGGAGTGGAGTCTGAGTAGAGTCTCCCCGAGGCTTCGGCTGTCGATGCCGCCGAAGATGATGAGGCTCCGCGAGGCCACGTCGACGACGGCGCTGTGCTGGTACCGCTTCCGCGGCCGCTGCGTGCCCTCCAGGGGCTTGACGAGCTCCCACCGAGCCTCCCGCGTGCTTTTGGAGGAATTCGGGGCATCTCCCAGCAATCCTTCCCAGCTTGGCCTCCATCAGGAAGACGCCGAGCCTGCACCTTCAGTCGCGGGCCGTCCTGCGAGCTGCGGGGCCTCGGGGCGCAGCTGCCGCTCACAACTCTTCCGTGCTGTCATTGAGACATGTTGAGAGGGTCTGCTGGTGGGGAGGTCGGGCAGGCGCAACTTCCCTTTGCACGACGACGCGCATGGACGTTGCATGCTCATGGCCCGCATGCGCGGCGTGCGAAAGAATATATATATATATATATATATATATACATATGTATACATATACGTTACACATATATGCTTTTTATTTTGACATTGTTGTATATGTGTTTTTTTGTAGTTGCTCAAGACATGTATTCATGACTCATGACTGCGCGGCTCTCCCAAGCTGATCGAGCCGGGCCCGCACGCTCAGCACTCAGACAAACATGCAATCAATATGAGACACGAGACTGCCAAATCTGCGCGCTCTCCCTGGATTCCGGGACTGCAACCAAAAACTTGTTTGCTTCTTTTGCAGAAGTATGCCTATTAAAGGTCTGCGTTGCCGCCTCGCTGCAGACGTCTCCCCGCATGTGCCACCAAGCAAAGAGCTCCGAGAACCGTGCACACCCACATATGATGACCATTTTCTTTAATAGAGGCTTGCAATCCTTGCATCGATGCCCGGGAGGCTCAGATCCAGTGTGCGGAAAACTACATGAAGAGGCAACTTTTTGCGACGCGTCTTCTGCTCCATTCCGGCGATGTGCATCGCGCGTCTTGCGCGCATGCGGCCAGCGGCCGATCAGGTGCACGTGTTCCACGCACACCCTTGCAGTTACACAATGCTACATAATCGTTTGGTAGGCCACGGATCTGTGCATCTTTGGCAATTCGCTTGGCGAACGCTGCAACAGGCGAAGCCCAATTGCGTCTCGAAAGTGTCCTTGTCATGCTTCTGCAAGCTTATCTGCGTAATGCCCTATGAACTCCATCTCCACCTGGAAACATGGCGTCGGTGTACTCTCTCAGGTTGCCGTTTTCGTCTGCTATAATGGTATACTGCTGGACACTGCGCTGCTTCCAAGAGCTGTCAGGCTGGCGTGGTCACGGGCTTCGCCGCTTCACCTGCAACAAAACGATGCAGCAAGCCCGAAAAAAACCCACAAAAGATCTAAAAGATCCAAGCCGTTGGCTGCCACTAATTACAGCACATCCGTCACGAACAAGTGGCACCTCACAAGGGCCTTACTGTTGTCGCGCATGTTCTTCATCCGCGGACGGGACCTTGCAAAGGCTCGGACTGCGCCGCACAACCGTACCAAATCGTGCGGTAAAGAAGCCCAAACGTATAGGCTACCCGTAGGCCTAGCCGTAGAGCCTACGGCTGGCTACGCGTAGGCCTGTCGGTAGAGTCTACGGCAGCCTACGCGTAGGTCTGTGCGTAGGCCCTCGTGTGGCCTACCCGTAGGCCTATCAGAGGGCCACGGGTAGCCTACCCGTAGGCCTACCCGGAGGCCTACGGGTAGGCTGCCGGCAGGCCTATCCGTAGGCCTACGGGCAGGCTACCGGCAGGCCTACCCACAGGCCTATGGGTAGGCTACCGGTAGGCCTACCCGTAGGCCTACGGGTAGGCTGATGGGTAGGCTACCGGCAGGCCTGCCCGCAGGCCTGTGGGTAGGCTGCAGTAGTAGTAGCAGTAGTAGTAGTAGTAGTAGTAGTAGTAGCAGTAGTAGTAGTAGTAGTAGTAGTAGTAGTAGTAGTAGTAGTAGTAGTAGTAGTAGTAGTAGTAGTGGTATAGCAGCAGTAGTAGTAGTAGTAGTAGTAGTAGTAGTAGTAGTAGTAGTAGTAGTAGTAGTAGTGGTAGTGGTAGTGGTAGTGGTAGTGGTAGTGGTAGTGGTAGTGGTGGTAGTAGTAGTAGTAGTAGTAGTACTAATACTAGTACTAGTACTAGTAGTAGTAGTAATAGTAGTAGTAGTAGTAGTAGTAGTAGTAGTAGTAGGAGTAGTAGTAGTAGTAGTAGTAGTAGTAGTAGTAGTAGTAGTAGTACTAGTACTAGTACTAGTACTGGTAGTAAATCCGTAGTCAGCCTACCCGCAGGCCTGTAAGCCTGCCGGTAGCCTACCTATAGCCCTGCGGTAGGCCTGCCGGTAGCCTACCCGTAGGCCTGTGGGTAGGCCTGCCGGTAGCCTACGTATAGCCCTACCGTAGGCCTACAGGTAGGCCTACCGGTAGCCTACCCTGAGGCCTACGGGTAGGCCTACCGGTAGCCTACCCGTAGGCCTACGGGTAGGCCTGCCTGTAGCCTACCCGTAGGCCTACGGGTAGGCCGACCGGCAGCCTACCCGCAGGCCTGCGGATAGGCCTATAAGTAGCCTCGCGTAGCCCCTACGTAGGCCTGTACACAGGCTACCCGTAGGCCTAGGGTAGACCTACCCATAGGTCCGACGTAGCCTCAGTTTCGGGCTTCTGTACGAATCGTGCCAAAACATGTGCCGACGCTTTTTTGGCCAAACATGCTTCCGGTCCGAGGGGCTTCATCGAAGGCTGCATCTCGCGCCATCTCGCGCAGGCGCGCCAAGCGCATCCAGCCGCCGAGGGCCACGTTGCCGGTGTCGATTTCCTGGAGCGTGGACACTCGTGGAGAATGTGGACCTATTGTATCGTAGACCAGCTTCGCTCCTCGGAACTGGCTGCAGAGGAGTGCTTGGCCTGGACACAGGCCGTTGTCATGCTTGTGTTCCTACGTCACCTTTTTTCCGGCATTGCACAGCGCTTGCCGAGCACACGGTATAAGCAGTCAGCGTTATCGCACGGCTGCACGGCTGCAATGTTGCAAAGAAGCAAACTATGGCTGTTCCTCGCAAAAGAAGGGGCCCACCATCGGAAATTTGAGAGGCTTCCTACGTCTGAAGCTGCGGCAGTGGCAGCTTCAAGCTCAGTTGGCGGCCCACTCTCCGCAACTGGCACTGCTCCCGCCAAAACCAAAATGCCTGATCTGCCCTTGCACACATGCCAGCGTCTCCGGACGTGGGCTTCCACAATTAATCCGTTCAATCTCATTGCAATCACCCGAAAGCGAAAGTTTGGGCAGACTCGGAATATTGCGCACTAACTGGCATGAGGTTTGCTTCTATGGTCATGGCCCCATGGCAATACAGTACGACAGGAGACGCTGTCTTCAGCACGGGCCTCCTCTGCCTTCTCTGTGCCCTGCTTCTTCAAGTGCTCGAACTCGGCCTTGAGCGTGGCGAGCTCCTGCTTAGGTTCTTCTGCGCAGTCTATTGCAACCGAGGGGGCCAAGTAACAACGATATCTCATCCGTACTGTGCTGATGCAGCGGTTATCGGATAATATTCTGTATACCATTGTCACAACTGCATCGCAGTGCGGCTTCACCAAAGCAAGATGCTATGCCCCTTTACTGCCCCTTTGTACGCGTGAAGGGCGATATAGGGTCCCTCGGATTCAACACAATGAGGTGCACAAGCCTGCATGCATTTAGAGGATGCAACTGCAGCGACAAACGTGTGCGGCACCCAGACCCGTCCTGTGCAAGTCTGTTCACTTCCTGCCGCGGCGGGACTCACACCAAACGCATTCAAACCCATCTGAAAATCCGCTTGGAGTGCATGCTGAGGCTTACATCAGCTGTTGCGGCGAGAGAACCACGGGTATCAACTGCAGGCCGTTGATGATGTTGATGTCTATACCCGCATGCGCATTCTCGAAACTTGCCCCAAACTGGATACTCCCTGCTGCGTCCTCCTTCAGCGCGCTTTGCACCTGGCGGAGCCCAAGAGAGGCGGCATTGACGCTCTGACAAGCACGTGGGACTTACAGCCTTGCGTGGGTGGCTGGTACGGCGAGCTATTCTGCGAGAAGGTCCAACAACTGCACAGTTTGACAGCCTGAGCCGTTTGTGAGCTCATAGTACCGTTTTCCCCTAAAGTGGCTTGGCAAGTGGAGAAGAGCTCAGCTAAAAGCAGCTCACATCACCAGAACTGTGACATGCAAGCAGGGTCGGGGTAGCCTGCATGGATTTGCAAGCAGCGTGTCTTCTTCGCTCGCTGCTCGTTGCGGAAAAAACTTGCGGAAACCAGTGTTGCTGCCCTCCATGGCTGCCGAATCAGATGAGATGTTTCGGGTACAGTTCTGCCCGACAGACTGAACGCCGCCGTGGACATTGTTGAATACCGGACGTTGGACACGGAACAACAGCCTTCGACATCTGCTTCCGGGATCCCGCGGCGGTCAATGGCGCAATCGACGTTGCATCGAGTTTTGTGTCACAGAAGGCCAGCCAAGAGCGCCACGGAACACCGTGCGGACAGCTGAGATGGCTGAGCTGACATCAAGATCAAACAGAATCAGAAGCTGCCGTGTCAAGACACAGAGGCAACTGATCGCAGCAAGGGCGGCAACAAGACCCCGGTAGCAAACGTGTAGTTCCAATGCAAACATGCAGAGATGCAGGACCAAGGTATATAGACATCCGCTGATCCTACGCACATCTCCAGAACCTTCCATCAACTGACCGAACTTACCTGCAAGGCCAAAGTATCTCTGACCGGGTTGAAGTCTGCAGGGAATGATGGTCGTGATGACAATGATCAGGAAAATGCCGCTACCAGCTACCACTGATGGTCGTTTATTGATGGGTTGCTGTGGCAATGATTCGTGTTGTGAGCATTCTTCGTTCGGGCCATCGGCACTGTGACTGTCACTGCTGTCCAGGCCTCCTCCCTGGGAGCTTGGGAAGGCGCTTGAGGTCGGGGGTGGTGTCCATCCGCCTCCTTTGCATGGGATGTCTCAGTTTTTGTGCAGGGTCTGGCACATGAGCATTTGCTACTCATGCCATGCTGCTTTGAAGGGATTCAAAAGAGGCCTGGTCGGGCAAAGGTTCCGCTTCGGGCCCAGGGAGCCGGAGCCGTCGCAGGTTCTCATCCAGCTCCAGGGACCTCTGTGGCTGTGAACACTGTCTTTAAAAACTGTCCACGCATCCACGACAATCGTTTCACAATGAGAGGACTGAGAGGACCGTGGACATTCACTTTTCAGAGCAGCAAGAACTCCCAGCCTCCTTGCTTGCTCTCGCTTGCTCTCGCTCGCTCGCGTTCGCACTCGCTTCCAGTCTATTTCGACTTCGCCTGCCCTACAGCTGGTCAACGACACAGCTGAATGGTGTTGTTGATGCGGATGTTGCTGGATGCGAGTACAAGATTCCCTGGCTTGCTCCTCATGCTCGCCTCGTTGTGCTTCGTTTTGTTGCGTCTCTGTTTGTTACTGCTTCTGTTCTTTGTGGCTTGTGTTCATGTTAGTATGAAACTTACTGTAAGTTAGTCTTTAAGTTTAAATGCTGCCGCTGTGCTGCTTGCTTCACTCTGTTTGCTTTCGTCTGCTTAATACTAGTGCTTGTCTCTCGTTGTTTTAGTTTTGTGACTTTCAGCTGAGCGGCCATGCGGTTTTTCATGCGCATACAGAAAATCAGAGAAATGCTTTTCTGCTTGCATTGTCCAGTTTGCTGTAGGCAACAGCCTTGTGCTGGCTTGGTGCTACTTAGTTTACTTGCCTTTTGCACGTGAACTCAGTCGTTTACTTTCTTTTCGCTGCATCTTTGGTGTGGGGTTTTTGTTCTCTGTACTATCCGGCCCTGCAGGACGCTTCCGTAAAACTACGCATTCGTCACAAAGCCTGTAATTAGATTACACAGCAAAGCACCAGAAATGCGCGCCTCGACTCCAAGAGCTCGATGGCTTCCCGGCTTTTGCACCCCGGAAGCAGCTCCTCGAGAACTTCCTTTGCCATCACCTTCTGGGGGTCCTCGCGGCGGTTTCAGCAGGTGTTCGCCATGGCCTCCTTCTGCTCTGATAAAATGCGACGCAGCAAGGGCACGCACACACACACACACACACACACAAGCAAGAGTCCTTGAGGCCACCGCAGAAGACCTTCGCACGAATGCGACCGTTGCCTTGTTTGCTTTGTATGGTGGCGACGCTGTCGATCCTCTTCGGGAGCAGCGATGCCTCGGAGCAAGTCGAGCGAAGCACGGCTAAGAACTTAGTAGACTTTAGTAGGGCTTGCAGCTAGCAACCGCTAGCCTCCCTTCAACCACCACGCAGCCACACGGCGATGACGGGCGATGACCCGGCAACGCAGTCCAAGACTTGCAGAACTGGACAGGAAAGCTAGCAGAGCCGCGGCACGGGGCAGATGTTCGTCGGATACGGGATGTCCACGAAGGTCGCACGCACGTCGTGGAAGCGAAGGAGGGACTTCACGGCCTGGTGAAGAGACACAGGTTGTGGACATCGTTGGCTTGGCGAGACAGCGCTCTCTAGCTTGAGTGGATTAGCTGCACCGCGTATGGTGAAGGATCCTTTCTCGACCGCACCGCGCACGGTCTGTGAAGGATCCAGGACTCCCTCGTGACCCCGCCTCTTCGGGAAAGTTCAAGTCAGCCAGCAGCAATGTGGGAAGATTGTCTGTGTCGCGGTTCACCAAACGTGCCACGCACTTGCAAAACTGCTCACGTGCAGGTCCATAAGGTCTTCCGGGCAGATGCCTTTGCACAGGGACACAGCTTTCCACCCCTTGCTAACATCGTTTCTGCTGAAGCAGGCATAACCTTCGCTGGGGCGCGTGGTCACCACGCGGAAATTAGTCTGGGACTCCTTCAGGCGGAACTTTGCCTCCATGATGGCCTCCAACTCACACAGACACAGAGCGTCAACGCATCTCATTTGCGAAGGTTTCAGGACAAGCTCACGTGGTTTAGGATGGTTCAGGCCCGTTTAGGCATCCCGAGATTTTTTTCTGCACAAGGACGAGGGAACTCTGAGAGGGCATAGCACGACAGAAACATCTGAGGAGATGCATCACTGCCACCACCCCGGCCTTCTTCTCATCGGATGCGTAGGCCTCCTCGCCACGATGGCAGATCGGATTGTTCGGTCCGGGAAGCAACTCCAGGACCTCCGTGTCGAAAACCAGAGCCTGTCAAGCACGACAGGTCTCAAGAGCGAACACATCAAACACCTGTCAACCTTTGCAACTGCCACACTAAATCAAATGACATGCCAAGGAAATCGCTCGAACCCCACCTCTTGGTTTTTGTCGTCGTCCTGCCCACTTTGCAGCAGCGTAAATCGCGGCATCCCCACTTCGCCAAGCCTCCTCTTGAGGACGCGGAGAAAGTCTGCCGAGCATTCCTGCAAGCAAATCAAGGAGACCGGGTAATGTTCACGGCAAAGCATCTTCTGCGTGATGTCGGCAATCCGGTGCTCTCGGGCGTCTGCTCGGTCGGCGGACTCTGGAGATTCCCGAGCGTGTAGTTCCGAGATCAGCGAACCGTTGAGGCCCTGCGTGTCTTCCGCAATGAACTTGTAGTAGCTCTTGTTCAAGACGTTCCAAGATGCAACATGGAGCGGCTTTGCTTCATTCACTGTGACCGTGGCCCCGACGGGGGGGTGATCTGATGGAAACTGCCACATGCTGCCCATTGGCGCTGCCAGTCGGTGGGGCAAGGAACCCAGCTTGTTCATGATCACCACGTCTGAGCAGGCTTCCAGCAAGCCCTGAACGACCTCAAGCCTCTCTTGAATTTTGTCCGTCCGCACATCTCCTTCGAAGGCGGCCTTCTGCTCCAGCATTTCCAAACACTGGCGAACACACGTCCTGGCCTCCTCCTTCTCCTCTCTCTCGACTTCTGTGGAGTTTTGCGTGTTGTGCATCGGGCCATCTAGCTGTTGCTGCATCACCTTCAAGCTCTCGCCTTGGCTGAAGTCGCGAAAAAAACTAAGGCTGCAGAAGAGCTGAATGTGTTTGTGTGTGTGTGTGTTACATGTTTATACTGAGCATTACGGGTACCGAAGCGGTTCTGAGAGAGACACATGCTCATGGGAAGCGCATGGGTGTGCTGCAAAGGTGAACCTGGTCACACGTGCCTCAAACTCTCTCTGTTTCTTTGCGAGGGTTCAAGGGGTTCTGCATCTCGACTTCAGAGCTTTCGAAAGGCGTTACAGGCTTCGTTTTTCGCTTCCGCATAGCTGGTCTTAGTGTGTCCGGGGTGCCCGTGCGCACTGCGGGGGTGACCTGCGAATCATGCGCACATGAGTTAAGACAAAGAGTCGAAACATAAAACAGCATCCATGTACAGTGTTTGTATGGCATCGCAGCACAGCATAGGTTAGGTTAGGTTAGGTTGAGCAGGCTAGCAGGTTAGCAGGTTTAGGTTTGGTTCGGTTACGCTAGGGCATGTTGGGGTTTAGGATTAGGGCTGAAGCTTGCAACGATTGGAAAGAGTGATCAGAAGTGTGGTGTACGGTACGTAGCTGGCACCAGGAAGGCGCCGAGCATGCACGTCCAAGAATGCTTGCTGATTCACCCCCCGTTTCTTTTTGAATTGACCCTCCTTGCTTTCTGAAGCATGGACGCCTGATTTGGGCATATGTTCTGCGAATCGGTCTTCACGCCGCACTGCCGTGCAAGCACCTAAACACACAAGACACGCCTCTGCCATCCTCTCTTGGCTTTTTGGTGAAGGTGCATATTGCGGGCTGTATGCCGCTAGAGCCGTCCTCCCCTGAAGCTTGACTCCAAGGGCCCGGCAGACACTGGGCAGGTGGATGTGGCGATCCCAAAGATGCTCTCTGTAGCAGGTTCGTAGAACAGAAGCGTTTCATCTCCCTCATACAAAGACATTCTCACAATGTTTGATATATCTGGTCAGCCTGATTTTCAACCCGGCGGCGCAGCTGGGCCACGTCATCGATCGCGTCTTTCTGCTTGGGCGTCAGTGGCCGGTGCTGCTGAGGCTGCTGGTGCTGCTGGGGCTGCTGGGGCTTGGGTGCTGAGGGTGGGCATGGGGGTGGGCACGGGGACGTCTTGAGCATGCTGGCCAGGGCCTCTGCATGTGCGGCAAGCTGGCAGAGCTGGGCGGCCCAGTGCTGCAGCAGGGGCCACAGCAGCGTCAGCACGCTCAGGTGGAGCTCCTGATCCCAGCCGCGCTGGCAGAAGAAGGCGCTCCGCTCCCAAAGCCGCTTCACCTCACAGCTGCGACATCTCTCAAACAAATGCAGCCCTCGGTTCGTTTCTGATCTCTCTACCCGGCAGCGCACCATCACTCTGTCGTTCTGACGACATCGTGCAACGTCTTGGTTTGTCTAGAATTGCCGCGCATGGCTAAGGAAGGTCAGCGTAGTAAACCCTGCGCGGCTAGGAAATATCCCTCTGCATTGTCTTTGTTCCGTGCTGAGCATTTCGTCGCATTCATCCGTGCGCCGCCCTCGCCTTGTTCGCCTATCAGCTCTTCCCTTGCCTGCCCTGGCGCTTGCCGTTGTTTGTTCATTTCATGGCGGTTCTTCTTTCTCACTTTCCAGCCGCGAAACTTGTGTTGATGCGAAAGGTGCAACACTTGCGACAGGTAGAGCGGCATGTTCGACGCACCCCATCCGAAAGGCCAGAGTGTGTGGCAAAGAGTGTCCAGCTCACATTCCTGAGAATGCCCCCTGACATCAACGGCAGAACTCGCTCTCTATGAGCACCTCTTGAGATAGCCTTGCCGATGGACATGCTAACTAATTAATTGTTGCTGCGCTTGCTCTGATGGCAGTGGCAGTCAGTCTAGGATTGCAGCTGGCTTGGTGCATCAAAACCTTTAAGACGAAGGGACGTGCCGCATTTGGATGGGCTTGATTTACGTCTTCTGCTCACGCAGTCTGCACACGTGCCACGAAGATGCATCTATAAATGACAGGACGCGTTGAACAACTCACAAATCTGCATGTCCCACCGTGGCGGTGCTGAGGAAGCGACATACTTCATGGGCTTGGCATGCTTCGCAGCGTACTCCTTCAACCCTCTCTCGAGGTACTCGATCTGGTTGCCATCCTTTGTCAAAGGCCTCACCTGTCTCGAGGCGTCCTCCGTGCAGATGTACCCGGCATAAAGCACGTTTGTCACCTCGAAGAATCGCACCTGATGTGCACAGCACGGCTGCCCTTGGAAGAGGGATGTTTTGGCAAACACGTCTACCTTGGCGGTGCGGCCTCTTGCGCCCTTGCTCAGGGCGTCGACCAGATCAACTTGCTTTTGCTCGTTCTGTCCACCTTCCTCTCCTTCTTCTTGGCACAGCTTGAAGCCTTCCCTGATTTCTTCGCGGCTCCAAGTCAGAAGCTTGTCCTCGTCTGATGAGCGTGGATCTCCAGTTTTGAGGCCACCCCAGTGAATAGCCAAGTCCTCGTTCCAGTGCTTTCCAAACTTCTTTTGGAGCTCGGCGGCTAACTTTTCCAGGGCCTCTGCCTCGTCGCGAGCTTCCAGGATCACGTACTCGGCAAGATCGACATCCCCAGGGAAGTTGAACTGCTTGAAGCGAAAGCTCCCTGCTGGCCGCGTGTGCTCGAACAAGGAGACTGCAGCGATCAAACTGCGAAGCTCATCACTTAGATCCGCGTGAAAGCGCTCCTCCAGCAAGCATGCACCTCGACAGAGGTTGCACTTCTCGGAGAAAGTGGAGACTCTGCAGCCTCGGGTCACACAAGGGCATCGCGATGCGAAGTGATCGACTGACCGCACGGAGCGCATCTCTTGGAGCCAGGGCAAGATGCCCGAGGACATGCCCGCGCTATACTCTGACAAGTCTTGTGCGTCGACAGCATCCCTCATCGCCTTGCACTCGATCCCCAATGCCTTCCTCCAGGCCGACATCAAGGCCAGCTTCAGGTCTTCTTGGTCCTGCGGACTGGCTTGACCAGCGTGGCCTGCGTGGCTGGCATGGATTCGCAGCAACTCCGGGTTCCCGATCGGGAAAAGCGACAGGTTCACCGCCGCATCCGCAGTGCGGACCTCCACCAGGTTGCTGTAGATTTGCGGCGGGCCTGGCGACAGACTCGCGGCACCACTCCCCGGAGAGTTCAATGTCTTGTACAGGATCGATGCCAGCTTCGGAAAGAGATGCGGGGACATGAAGCCATCCAGGTGCACGTAAAGGAGCAGGTCTTCGGTCCGCGCTGGCGGCTGCAAGAGGTGGGCTTTTGGAAGGCAGCAGGGCACCATGAACTGATCCACCTCGGGTAGCTGTACCATGATCCCACGTCTCAAGAGCACCTCCCGCAGAATTGCCTCGTGTTCCTTCTGGAACTCTTGTGCCCAGAGATGCTTCAGGAACTGCAGCGTCACCACTCCACAGGCCTTGAAGCGCAGCAGGTCGCCGGGATCGGCACGCCTTATCTTCTCGTCCATGTATGCTTGATACTCCTGGGAGTGTTCCCAGTGTGACTCCTCACGGAAGCGGACGAACAGGAGGCCCGTCAGCGCTTCGGCAGCCTTGCTCGGATTCAGCATCACCTGAGAGCGATCCCCAAGATGCGGAACCCGCGGACCCACCCCTGGAACGTACAGAGCTGGAGTTAGACTTGCCGACGCTCGCTCTTTCCGTCTTACTTTTGAATGTGTGTCTTCGAAGTATGCTTCTCGTCTGGAGCCCCTTGGAAAAACAAATGTGGTCTCCAGGCACTTCTAAGTCCGGAAATGGGGTGTGGGAACAAACAGACCAGGATCCGCCCCTTCCACGCCGACAATTTGTGGCCCAGCCCTCCCTGACGCCGCCAGCGGACAGAGGGTAGGCCAAAAAGCACGAAAGAAGGTCTCTGAACACTTTCCTTCAAAATTCGGGACCCCCTGAAATGCTGGAACCCTCCCCCTGAACGGCTTCCTGCCTGACCACCCAAGCATGCCAGGGTTGTCACTTTGGGACTTTTGGGTGACTGTTGGGCACAGAATGGCATTTCCTTTCGTCTGCGATGCGCACTTCCGGGGCTTGGTTTGATGTTTCGGTGTCTGCGTTCTGCCCTCTGCCAGCTCTTGTTGTAGGGTCGCTGGCTAATTTTTGTGTGGATGTTGATTGTGTTTAGGTGCGCAAAAAACCTCGCACACGCGCTCGACAATCCCCCCTTCAAATGCAGCAAGCCAAAGCTTCCAAACCCTGCCAGAACAGGGCAGACACTCCGAGGCGTTCCGAGTACCACATGGCTACAGCAACCTGAGAGTATCACAACCTGGTCCAGGTGCTCGTCCTCGAACCACACCAAGGTGCCCAAAGAGTGCAGGACACTCAACAGCTTCTTCACCTCTTCACCTGCAGGTTTGCTGTATGGCTGCGTCTCGCTGTGGGATATGTCTATGTGTTTTGCTGCAAGGATCAATGCACTGCTACTAGAGCAGCCATCACTTGAGGCCGCGTGTGACTGGGAGGGTAGGGGCCCCGATTCTCGTTACAGCTGGCTGCTGGCTGAGAGGACCCTCTTCGGGTTGGCCTTCCAGATGCTTCGGCCTCATGCGTTGCAGCAGCTCCGACACGGTCTCCAAAGACAGGAAATCGAAGGACAGGCTCACCTCCACGGTCTCTGCGACGCTCTCTTCTCCAAAGAGGCAAGCCCTCAACGAAGTGCCTGCCGGTGCCTTCAACCCCTCCCAAACGGAGCACTGGACGTCCAGCAGCGACTGCAGAGGGAAAGTGACAGCTCCTCTTGCATCCTTCTGCAGGTGCTTTCCCGCTCTTCCGGCCTCCTCCACGCAGCTTTGCACATCTTTTCTGGCGGCAGTGCAGGCGAGGCCCTCGCCGAGCTGGCGCAGCAGGTCGTGGCCGCGCAGCCATGACACGGGGTAGCGCTTGGAGTTCATACCGGCGTGCTGAGCCGGCGTGCGCTGCAGAGCTCTGTCGAGAATCATCTCCTGGCCGATCTCTCCGATCTTCTTCCGGAGCGCGGCGATCCCTTTGCACTTCTCCAAGCAATCGGCCTTGTTTTCGACAGGGAACAGCCACTTGCAGCGGCAGGCCTCGCCATCACAGCTTCCGGGGCCATCCTGCAGCTGCCGCCTCAGGCTGGGCAGCTGTTCCACCAGACCTTCCAGGTGCTTCTGCAAGGTAACGTCGGCGCCCTCCCTCCTCTTGCTCCAGTGGGTGCCTACAATCAGAATCGGCGGCCTCGGCTGCTCTTCAGCCTCCTCAAACCTCTCACCCCCTCCTCCCCTCTTCTTCTTGTGGCCCTCCTTCTCTCTCTCCGTCTTGGCGTAGCGGGTAATCGCCCACAGCCAGAATTTCAGGTCTTGCCACTCCTCCACCGGGTCAGCGCTCAAATCACACATCGCGAGATACATGGCCTGCCCAGTAAAGTACAAGAGGTTTAGCTGCGCGTACTCGCGCTGCCCAGGGAAGTCCCAGGCTTGCAGCCTCAGCTGCGGCCTGGACGCTTCCTCCTGTGCTTTCCCTCCAGATAACTCCAGCACCAGCTCGCCGCTGAGCTGCGACGGGCCGAGCATCCGCGGGAGCTGTCCCTTGAGTCCAAGCTCAGGAGCATTTTGCTGTCGCTGTTCGGGCTGCTGCGGGTCAATCGTGGCATCCTCCCCGGCTGACGTGCTTGACATGATCTTGCCCGAAGCTCCATTCTGCGCGTCTGCATTCAACGACGGCTCGTAAGCGTCGTCCTTCTTCTCTGTCTGCGCGCTCGTGGCCTTGTTACCTGTGTGCTTCTCCGCCCCTTCCTGCGCCTTCATTTCCTGCTGTATCTTCCTCACTCCTGCGCGAGCCATGTCCTCGTCGATAACTCTGCCCTCCCACTGCCTCCACTCTTCATCCAGGTCGTGCACCTCGGCAACGGAGCACGCGACACCGAAGGTGGACGCCTGCTCCTCGGGCAGCTCTTCCCCTTTGATGCGCCTCAGCTACCGCCGCGCGCGCACGCGCAACGACTCGCAACGACTCACAATCCCTGGATGGCCCTCGCAACAAACAAACACACACACACACACACACACACACACACACACACACACACACACACACACACACACACACACACACACACACACACACACACACACCCCAACCCTCGCAAGGCCTCAGCGTCGAGGTCTTTCCCACGCGCCCTTTGCCCACGAAGCAGAGCCTGACCACTGCCAGTGGCTCTTCGCCGTGTTCTTGCCACCTGGCTTCGGACAACGTGACAGGGCTCGCCTGACTTCTCTCTGCAAGCCGAGCACGTGCAAGCGCGCAGCACCTCAAACCAGATGCCTTATTTCGTGTTTTTTGTGTATCATAGATTGGATCCCGAGCGCCTCCGGAACGCCATCTGCAGAATGACCTCTTCCAGACATGGAAGAAGACACAAACAGCAAAGTCGATGCAACCAGGTCAATGCCATGTAAATTGCAATCGAAATCCAATGTCACTGTAGTGTAAACGTCAACGCTGCCCGGTGCGCCAGCCTTGGGGCTTGAACAGCTCTTCTGGGGCTGTTTCTGTGAACTCTCGATTTAAAATCCACGGATGATGTGTCGAAGCTGGCTTTCTCACGCGTCAGGCCTGCAGACTCTATAAACAGGTCTGCACCCTGCATCTGCTGCTCATTTCGGGCTCTGGCACATTTGTTTTGTCGCGGCTGCGTCGCCCTCCACGCGCAGGGAGAATGTTGGGCTCCGTGGCGTTCTGTGATGTTCCCAGTGTCTCAGTGACTGTCTATAAGCTATGACTTTCTTCCTGGGGTGCCCCACGCATTCGTGCAGGTGTCTGAGCGAGGACCCCCCCCCCCTGCCCTGAAAGCCAGGATTTTTGCAATGGTTGTTGTTGGTTGTTGGTTTGCTTTTGAAACTTTGTGGTTGAGGGTGTTTGGGGCTTTGCAGGGTTTCGCCCGAGGGCGTTCTTAAGGCTTTGAGGATCCAGACTTTGTTTAGTTTTCTTTTGTACGGCTGAGGGCCTAGGCTGTGTGTGAGGGATGAATTAAGGTTGGCAGAGCTTATTTAGGTGTCAAACGGTCGGTTTGTTTTTGGGGTTTCGTAGATTCCTTCTTTCCTTTCCCCGTCTCGAGTCCCTCTCCGGCCTCGAAAAGGTCCACGGCCCAGAGGTCACCCAGAAGTGTCCCACCTCGCTCTTCGGGCTTTGGGTCGGTGGGGGCCCCGTCCTGCACGAGAAAAGCTCTCCGAGGCCGCCTTCCCCGCCGAAGAGGAGCCAGGACCCGGAGGCGGAGTCGAAGGCCGCGGCGTGCGAGGACCGCGCCTCGGGGCTCGCTGCAACAGGCGGGAGCACCTCCCAGCGCCGGGCCTCGCGCAAAATCTCACATTTCGACTGAGGGGGGACCGTGGGAGGAGGGCAGCTGCCGCAAGTGCAAGCGAGCTTGGGATTTCTGTCCGAGTCCAAGGCGAGGAAAAACTGTTGCTGGAGCAGTGGCCGGCTGCTTCTCTGCCGATTTGTTTTGCCTTCTTTTGAGGCCCCTCACCTCTCCCCTATTCACAGTGCAACTTGATGTCTCCACCCAACCCAGGCCCCAGGAGATGACAAAGGCCACTGTGCTCGGTTCACCTGCATGCCGCTTCCCTCATCCCCTGCTTGATGTGTTTTCTTCATGCCTGGGGTGCGTTGCCAGGATCCGGTGATTGTGATATTGTTTCTTCTTTCTCTCTATGCGAATACTTGCTTTCCTGACGCGAGACGAACTCCCCAAAGGTCGTTCTTGGCTCAGTTTGGAAGCTCCCCTTGATGGTTTGTAGAAACTATGTTGATTCCCTGGCCACTGGCTCTGTCCGTACGCGTTGTTTCTGCTAGGAAATGAAGCCTCCCCACCTGCAACAGCAAAGTGCGCTCTCGGCTACTTGGCTTCGGTCCTTTTGCTACTGTCCTTCCTTCTCATCTGCTTAGTGCTGTTTTCGGCTAGTGTATGCTAGCTGCTGAGAGAACATCAAAGAGACCTACTGAGCTTGTGAATGCCTAGTCGGACTTGGTCGTCGTGAAGGGAAGGGGGATTCGAGTAAACATCAGTGTGCATCCTTGCAGGGTGCCCCGGGACTTCCTTGTCCAGTGTGCACCCTGGGATGCACACTGGACGCTGAACATGATGTTTATTGGACCCGGTGCGTGTCGAAAAGAGCGCCGTTTTCAGACTCCAGTGTGCGCCCTGCTGTTCTTGCTTGCTTTATTCGCTTCTCCCTAGGGTTTGTTTTTGGCCAAGAGTGTTCTGTATTCCTGTGTTTCTTCTCACTTCTTGAGATGTCTTTTTGTTTGCTAAGAATGTTAGACATGTTGTTTTTCTTATTCCTTAGGGCTTCTTTTTGGTTTTCTGTTGAAATTGTTTTGTCTTCCAAGCTTCTCAGGGTTTCTTTTGTGGCTATTCTGTCTAGAATGATTAGTTTTCCTGTGTTGTTTTTCCTAACTCCTTAGGGCTCGGCTTGAGGCCTTTCAGGCTTTACCTAAAATGTAGGGTTTCGGGTTTAGGGTTTAGGGAAAAAGTAAACTCAACTACACTCTTTCGATCTTCAAGGCCATTCTTTGCAGGTTTGGGATTCTCTTGCTAGTTTTTTAAAGTTGAGATTGCCTTCAAAGATTTAAGACTTCTCTTGTTTGAGGCGGTGCATTTGCAGTTTTCCGAACCGCATGAAATTAGGGCGGGGCCCTGTGCATTTTGCGGCAGCTGGAAAATGCATGGAGGGCTTCCGGAAGGACAACTGCCTTACCCCTCACAGCACGCGGGGGGAGGGCCCTGTGCATTGCGCAGCTGCCGGAAAATGCATGGTGGAATGTCCCCTGCATGTGCCTTTGGACTGGATGCGCACTGGACGCTTAACATGATGTTTACTCGATGCTTAACTTGATGTTTGCACGACCCTGACCCCTCATGAAGTCTACCCAGTCTGTCTTCCTTCGAATGTCCATCCTTACTCTCCCCATGGGCTACTTTCTGCTACTACTACGAGTACCTGAGTACCAGTTAGTACCAAGCTGCCACAGTCATACTGCTTTGTGAAACGCACATTCACGCACGAAACGCAACGCAGCGCAGATCGGCTCAATGCACATGATGGTCCATGATGCTCCCAAAAACGCAGTCGGTCAACATTCTTTCACAAAACCCATGAAGTATGCTAAGGAATTAATCTGGAACGCAGGCCGGAGTTCAAACGATCAAGATGCGCCGGTTGGCATATGTTGACGTGTCTTCAAGGCGCCTTCCACATCCCCACACAGACCACACGGCCCGCAGGGCGCCGAATGAGTTGCTGCTAGTTCTAGGTCCATGAGCCCCGTTGCCAAACAAGCCCAACAAACAACTTAAAAACAGAAACCACTCACCGCCTGACTGCAGTTCTCCCATGCTCCCTCTCTCCTTCTGCCTCGAGATCGAACATCCAGAGGTCGCCCAAGCGGCCACCTGCACCTCAGCATCGCGCACGGCATGGGGCTTCGGCAAACTCCCACGTTGCTGCGGGGGAAATCTCTCTCCTCTTGCAATGGCGCCGCCCCGGGCCGGGCCCCCGGACTTTTACCGCCGAAGACCAGCAGCTGCCCGGCGGCGCAGGCGGAGGTGTGGAAATACCGCGCCGGGGGCCCCTCCGCGGCCTGGATCTCCTCCCAGCGCTTTGCCTTACGGGGCGCGGGAAAAGGGGACTTTGTGAGACGGTGGGAAAGAGAGACCTTGTTGGCACGTCTTCGGGCGCCTCCAGGTCCAAGGACCAGAGGTCGCTGAAGAGGTTGCTGCCATCCTCGGTTCCTCGACCGCTCCATTCCACTCCGCTTCGCTCGGGATTTGTGGGGGAAACCCGGGGGCGCACACTCTGAACCCGAATTTTTATCCCTGCCCCTGTTCCCCCCCCCCTCCCCCGCAAAAACAATGCATTAAGAAGGCTTCTTTTTTCGGGGCTTGGTTCTAGGTATCTTGGGGTGGGTTCAGGCAGCACCCCTGGCTTCATTTCAAGACAGGCTGTTTTTAAATAACTAAATTAGCAGTTGGCAGTGATCTCTACCTCCACCTCAAGGTCTTATCATCTTCCCTCATGTTATCTCATCGCTGGGACTCAGTTCCCTCTGATGGTTTACCCAGGCTTAATATTATGGAAGTTTTGAAGTTGTTTTGTGTTCAGAACATCAATAGTGTCTGTGTTTGATTGTATGTTTGCAGAGTTTGCCGTGTTGATGTCTCCTAATTCTGGTTTTTGTGGCATATAACAAAGAAATGTCTGTTCCACTGACTACAATTTTATCTGCTGTTAATGTATTTGTATTATTCAATGTCAAAGCCATTAGTTACCCCCTCCCTTCTTGGATCCCGGGCCTCCGAAAAGCAGCATAGCGTGGGCCGCTTCCTCGTAGCTGGCCGAGTGCAAATACCTGGGCGCCGGCCGCCGGCCCTCGGGCCGCAGCTCCGCCCAGCGCTCGGCCTCCGAGGAAAACATGCTGCGGGCACAGCTGTCAGGGTCTACCACGGAAGTGGTATGTGGATCGAGAGGGAGCTGCGTTGTCTCTTGTCTTCCTGGATCGCTTCGAGAGGAGGAGACTGCGACTTGGAGGCTCGTGTTTGCTAAAAGCGAGCGGCGCACGGATGTTTGGGCATGCTCTTAGAGAAGGGCTGCCCTGGCAGCACAAGCCTAACGTTGTTTGGGCATGGGCGCTCTCAGGAACGGCACAGGGAGTGTATGTTTGAACTGGCATCCACAATTACCGCCTCCCCCTCATATTAAAAAAGGCACATCGGTTCAGCTGGGCCGGACACCCTCAAAAACCCCCCAGCCCTCCAGTCAAACGCACCCGGAGAGGGGCCCAGGCTTATGGTTTAGACTAGGGAATGAGGCAGGACTGTGGCGAATGTGCTGCAAGCAGGGCGCAGCCGAAGGCAGAAGAACAGCAACAACCAGTCCTACAATTAGCTGGTGCACTTGGGGGGCGTGCCGGACATGTACGGCAGTGACGAACTCGAGCTTGATGTCGGACGTTTTGAAAACATTCTGAGTCCTAACCGGCGCCCTGGCACAACCGATTAAGCGGGAAAAAAAAACATAACATTCTGACTTTGTTCCTCCACCAGCTAACACGCCACAGAATACCTCAGAGATCCTGAGAGCCTTCTGTCCAGTCCAGGAAGCGCAATTTCCTCTAGCACACACCAGACAATATACCTGAGAGAGCCTTTTGTGTCCCCATCCACGCAGCCACCCGATGGTCTGAGACATTCCGAGACTGCCTCTCTTGGTCGCTATACGGACTTCAAGCGCCGCGCGCCTGGAGCTCCAGGATGAACACATCATCATCCAGAACACCTCGGGAACTGGACTTTTTTCTTCTGCCGAGACGGGGGGCGCGCCCCATGCTTCTTTTTTTTGGAAAGGGACGTGACATGCAGACCGGAGGGCTGAGGCCCACGCTGAAACCGGCGCCTCGCAAAACGCGCAGCTTATATTAGGCGTAAATGAGGCTTCGAGGACTCTCACCCTCGAAGCTTCGGGAGGCCAAAAAGAGCGGGGCAGTTTCCCGGCCTTGGCCCCCGAAGACCACCATCTGCGCACCCTTGGGGTCGAAGATGGCGGAATGAAGCACCCTTCCTGGAGGGAGCTCGCCTTCGCGCCGCAGCTCCCTCCAACCGTGGTCCTCGCAGGCAGGTGCAGGTGCAGCTTTCCCAAAATGCACCTCACCCCAGTGCTCTCCGCCGCCGCCGCGCCTCCAAGCCGAAGGCCCAGGCGTCGTCGCCTCGGCGCGCCGGTCCCCCAAAAAAGGCTCGATGCACCCTTACAGCTCTCTCAGGGCCCCTGCGAAATCCATATCCATCGAAGCCCCCGAAGAGGAGCATCGCCCGGGCCCTGGGGTCCAGGATCGCGGAGTGCCCTTCTCGCGCTGAGGGCCGAGGCCCGGCCGTGCCCAGCTCCTCCCACTCCTTCGCCTGGCTCTCGCTTCCTTCGTTCTTTTAAGGGTAATTTTGTGGGGCTCATTTCGTTGCATGGGCCGGGGCAGGAGCAGAGCAGAGAAGCGGAGCCCTTCGGGAGCCCTCGGGGGGGCCTCGAGGCCGAAGGCCCAGACGTCGTTCAGGTTGTCGAGAAAGCCTCGGAACGAGAAAAGAGAGCCCGCAGGAGGACGAACGGAAGGACAACAAGGGAAGAAAACAGAAGGCGCGGGAGGAGGAGGATAGAAAAAGAGGAGAGAGGAGGAGGAGGAGGAGGAGGAGGAGGAGAGAGGACAAGGAGGCTTTGAAACGGGGCTTTGGCCGTTGCCGCCAAAGACGAGGAGTCGCCGCGAGGCCGCGTCGACGACGGCGCTGTGGCCATACCGCTTCGCCGGCCGCGGCGCGCCCTCCGCGGGCTCTAAGAGCTGCCAGCGAGCCTCCCCCCGTGCTTTCGATTGGGCGCTGGCTACACACAGAGAGAGATGTAGAAAACACACTTCCCAGCCTGGCCTCCATCACAAAGATTCCCGGGCCTCTGCACTTTCAGTCACGCGCGCTTCCGGCGCGTCTCGGGCCTCGGGGCGTACTGGCCGCTGGCAACTTTGCATGCAAGGCGCGTGTTGTGTGCATACATGGGGAGATCGGGCAATGGTTGCGATGCAATGGCACTGCTTACGACGATTCCCATTGCTAAAGGAGTTCTCTGCAGCAGCGCTGCGTGCATCACTGTTTGCTTCGTTTCAAGTTTGATCTGTGGCTCCACACTGCGACTGCGACGCAGCATCCATCAGCATGACCGCCTAGCTCAGCTTTCCGGGCCGCAAGAACCCTTGAACCAGGCCCCACGGCGGTCTCACGGCGAAGGTTCGAATATACGGCTGGAGGTCGGCCCAAACTGCACCGATAAGACACTCTTCCGCAAGGCCATTCCCAAAGAGCGCCTGATTTCCCGAATCCAAAGATAGGACAGCTTTTCCGGTAAGCATGAAAACGAACAAGGACACGACACTGCAAAATCTGCTCTCCCCCTAGAGTCCTGGACGTCTGCAGCTCTTGTGTTCCTTCACTTGCGGAAGTGTGTCTATTGAAGGCCTGCATTGCAGGTGGCACCGACTTCAATTGGCTCTCGTTCTTTCTGTTTCTCTGTCGGCAACTTCCCAAGTGTGCAAACAAGCCAGGAACAGACATGAGCTCAGCAAGAATGTCCAAGAGCATAGATATAGGACGACCATACTTTCCACAATGAGACACTCCATGGCACAGACCCTTCTTTTGCTCGCAGTTTGCCTCTGCTAGTCAGAGGAGTGGTGGCACAGCCCACAGACAGGTCCACATAAAGTATACCATTGCCTGTACACCGTGTAATGTGCCGACATGCGGTATGACCACAACATATCGAAGTCCATACTAGCAGTACGCATGCTACAAATACATGCTTGCGTATAGCTCTCTTGGCCTTTCCGATGTCGCAAATGCAAGGGCGCCGTCCGGGCGCAGTCAACTCTGCCATCATGGTTTTCGCATCCGATCCACAGTGCAGGGAGTTCAACGTGCAAGGTGTCTATAGTCTATGAGCCAGATACTTTATATAGACCAGAGAAAGTAGGAGAGTTACAAGGACTTTATATTTACAGAGATTTTGTAGGGTTGTTGAAGAGATGTGCAGGATTTTGGTCTTTGGTCTCCGTGCCGGCATGCATCTTGTGGTGGTTCTGTCCTTCTCACACGGACGGGCCGCTAGTACACAAAAAGCAGCGACACAAAGCTCGAGCCCTATTGCGGATGAATGAAGCCCTGCCGATACACCTGGGCCCTGGGCAGTGTAGAGCAAAAAAAAAAGAGCAACACTCTTCCCGCAAACCATTGCGCTTCGGCTTTGGTTCCCTTCCACCAGCATGGAGAACATAAACAGCACCCAGGAAGGCGAACCGCCACACAGCGAAGGGTGAAGAGTATGGAGCAGAAGAGTGGAGGCTCGGTGTGCGGCCTCGGGTCGGCCCTGGAAAACCTGTGCATAGGGCCCCAGGGAGCGAAGCCAAACCCAAACGAAGCAACAAAACCTAACATCAGAATTCTGATGGCTCTGGCATACGATTCACTACGCGAGAACACAGAATGGGAACGGTGGGAAACTGAAAGTTCTACCTATCTTGCTCCAACTGATGGCCCCATGGAATTTTTGCAGTGCATGGACAACCAAGTCAGAGACCGAAAGCAGACTTTATTCATGTGCTCCTGTCAAGCAGCATGATCGTTTGGGTATGCAACCTGGGCTCGGATAAGAGACCGGTGGCCTTCACCTGGAATCAGGGGGCCTTCCAGAAAGCCCCATCAAAATCGAAAAGCCTGGAATTCCAGCAGCGACATCAGCTACACCAGCAAATGAGTCCTACAGCCTCGAACCGCGCATGCACTCGGAGGCCTTCGACTGCCTCGAAATTGACGACCGACATTTGGCGTAATTGCCCCTGACTCTGTATCAGAAGTGCTGCTCACCTTGGTATGTGACTGTTTTCGCTCGCCAAGAGCCAAGCTCGGCCCAAAAGCTGCAAGCTGGATCCAACGTGAAACCTGGATTCAGATGCCCCTCTTGGGCCCAACTTGAAACCTGGATTCGGCCAAGACGCCCCTCTTGGGCCCAACTTGAAACCCCCTCTTGGGCCCAACTTGAAACCTGGACTCGGCCAAGATGCCCCTCTTGGGCCCAACTTGAAACCTGGATTCGGCCAAGATGCCCCTCTTGGGCCCGAAACCTGGATTCGGCCAAGATGCCCCTATTCGGCCAAGATGCCCCTCTTGGGCCCAACTTGAAACCTGGATTCGGCCAAGATGCCCCTCTTGGGCCCAACTTGAAACCTGGACTCGGCCAAGATGCCCCTCCTTACCCAACTTGAAACCTGGATTCGGCCAAGACGCCCCTCTTGGGCACAACTTGAAACCTGGATTCGGCCAAGACGCCCCTCTTGGGCCCAACTTGAAACCTGGATTCGGCCACGATGCCCCTCTTCAACCCAACTTGAAACCTGGATTCGGCCAAGATGCCCCTCTTGAGCCCAACTTGAAACCTGGATTCGGCCACGATGCCCCTCTTGGGCCCAACTTGAAACCTGGATTCGGCCAAGACGCCCCTCTTGGGCCCAACTTGAAACCTGGATTCGGCCAAGATGCCCCACTTGGACCCAACTTGAAACCTGGATTCGGCCAGGATGCCCCTCTTGGGCCCAACTTGAAACCTGGATTCGGCCAAGATGCCCCTCTTGGGCCCAACTTGAAACCTGGATTCGGCCAAGATGCCCCTCTTGGGCCCAACTTGAAACCTGGAGTGGATTCGGCCAGCCCAACTTGAAACCTGGATTCGGCCAAGATGCCCCTCTTGTGCCCAACTTGAAACCTGGATTCGGCCAAGACCCCTCTTGGGCCCAACTTGAAACCTGGATTCGGCCAAGATGCCCCTCTTGGGCCCAACTTGAAACCTGGATTCGGCCAAGATGCCCAACTTGAAACCCTCTTGGGCCCAACTTGAAACCTGGATTCGGCCAAGATGCCCCTCTTGGGCCCAACTTGAAACCTGGATTCGGCCAAGCTGCCCCACTTGGACCCAACTTGAAACCTGGATTCGGCCAGGATGCCCCTCTTGGGCCCAACTTGAAACCTGGATTCGGCCAAGATGCCCAACTTGAAACCCTCTTGGGCCCAACTTGAAACCTGGATTCGGCCAAGATGCCCCTCTTGGGCCCAACTTGAAACCTGGATTCGGCCAAGATGCCCCTCTTGGGCCCAACTTGAAACCTGGATTCGGCCAGCCCAACTTGAAACCTGGATTCGGCCAAGAGGCCCCACTTGGACCCAACTTGAAACCTGGATTCGGCCAGGATGCCCCTCTTGGGCCTAACTTGAAACCTGGATTCGGCCAAGATGCCCCTCTTGGGCCCAACTTGAAACCTGGATTCGGCCAAGATGCCCCTCTTGGGCCCAACTTGAAACCTGGATTCGGCCAAGATGCCCCTCTTGGGCCCAACTTGAAACCTGGGTTCGGCCAAGATGCCACTCTTGGGCCCGACTTGAAACCTGGGTTCGGCCAAGATGCCCCTTTTGGGCTCAACTTGAAACCTGGATTCGGCCAGGATGCCCCTCTTGGGCCCAACTTGAAACCTGGATTCGGCCAAGATGCCCCTCTTGGGCCCAACTTGAAACCTGGATTCGGCCAGGATGCCCCTCTTGGGCCCAACTTGAAACCTGGATTCGGCCAAGATGCCCCTCTTGGGCCCAACTTGAAACCTGGATTCGGCCAAGATGCCCCTCTTGGGCCCAACTTGAAATCTGGATTCGGCCTTGTTGGGATTCGGCCAAGATGCCCCCTCTTGGGCCCAAGGCCCAACTGGAAACCTGGATTCGGCCAAGATGGTCTCTCTTGGGCGCAACTTGAAACCTGGACTCGAGATGCCCCTCTTGGGCCCGCCCCTCTTGGGCCCCACTTGAAACCTGGATTCGGCCAAGATGCCCCTCTTGGGCCCAACTTGAAACCTGGATTCGGCCAAGATGCCCCTCTTGACCCCACCTTGAAACCTGGATTCGGCCAAGATGCCCAACTTGAAACCCTCTTGGGCCCAACTTGAAACCTGGATTCGGCCAAGATGCCCCTCTTGGGCCCAACTTGAAACCTGGATTCTGCCAAGATGCCCCTCTTGGGCCCAACTTGAAAGCCAAGATGCCCCGGCCAAGATGCCCCTCTTGGGCCCGATTCGGCCAAGATGCCCCTCTTGGACCCAACTTGAAACCTGGATTCGGCCAAGATGCCCCTCTTGGGCCCAACTTGAAACCTGGATTCGGCCAAGATGCCCCTCTTGGGCCCAACTTGAAACCTGGATTCGACCAAGATGCCCCTCTTTGGGCCCAACTTGAAACCTGGATTCGGCCAAGATGCCAAGATGCCCCTCTTGGGCCCAACCTGAAACCTGGATTCGGGCTTAACTTGAAACCTGGATTCGGCCAAGATGCCCCTCTTGGGCCCAACTTGAAACCTGGATCCGGCCAAGATGCCCCTCAAGATGCCCCTCTTGGGCCCAACTTGAAACCTGGAGTCGGCCAAGATGCCCTCTTGGGCCCAACTTGAAACCTGGATTCGGCCAAGATGCCCTCTTGGGCCCAACTTGAAACCTGGATTCGGCCAAGGTGCCCCTCTTGGGCCCAACTTGAAACCTGGATTCGGCCAAGATGCCCCTCCTGGGCCCAACTTGAAACCTGGATTCGGCCAAGATGCCACTCTTGGGCCCGATTCGGCCAAGATGCCCCTCTTGGGCCCAACTTGAAACCTGGACTCGGCCAAGATGCCCCTCTTGGGCCCAACTTGAAACCTGGATTCGGCCAAGATGCCCCCTCTTGCCCAACTTGAAACCTGGATTCGGCCAAGATGCCCCTCTTGGGCCCAACTTGAAACCTGCATTCGGCCAAGATGCCCTTCTTGGGCCCAACTTGAAACCTGGATTCGGCCAAGATGCTCCTCTCGGGCCCAACTTGAAACCTGGATTCGGCCAAGATGCCCTTCTTGGGCCCAACTTGAAACCTGGATTCGGCCAAGATGCCCCTCTTGGGCCCAACTTGAAACCTGGATTCGGCCAAGAGGCCCCTCTTGGGCCCAACTTGAAACCTGGGTTCGGCCAAGATGCCCCTCTTCTTGGGCCCAACTTGAAACCTGGATTCGGCCAAGATGCCCCTCTTGGGCCCAACTTGAAACCTGGATTCGGCCAAGAAGCCCCTCTTGGGCCCAACTTGAAACCTGGATTCGGCCAAGGTGCCCCTCTTGGGCCCAGCCAAGATGCCCCTCTTGGGCCCAACTTGAAACCTGGATTCGGCGAAGACGCCCCTCTTGGGCCCAACTTGAAACCTGGATTCGGCCAAGATGCCCCTCTTAAGCCTGGATTCGGCCAAGATGCCCCTCTTGGGCCCAACTTGAAACCTGGATTCGGCCAAGATGCCCTTCTTGGGCCCAACTTGAAACCTGGATTCGGCCAAGATGCCCCTCTTGGGCCCAACTTGAAACCTGGATTCGGCCAAGATGCCCCTCTTGGGCAAAAGCTATATGCCGAGTTGTGGGCTATGTTGCTGGTGATGCATCGGGGTAACCGTTTCCCATGAGCACCCATCCTCAGGCGAGGACCGAAACCCCGGTGTTCCAGATACTCGCGCTGAGTCGTGTCGGTGCGAAGGTGAAGTGGCGGCTTGCGCCGATGGGCTTGGGGCCCCGGGAAGGCAAAGCACGACTCCATGATAGCAAGCCCACAGCCACGCGTCAGGCGTCAGGCACATACACCACTAACACAGCGACTACCTCCCAAAACAATGATCCAGTGCCCGCATCGCTGATGGAGCCTCGGTTCTGAGCCGTCATGATCAGCGGAAGGAGAGACGGAGGACCCTGCACAGGGCAGCAGCATAGTGAACTTGCAGCACGTAATTCGGCTCAAACATGTCTGCCATGCAGCTATAAGGCATTGCGAGAAGATGCGCATCAGCAAAGGCTATCTTGGCTTGAAGAGTAATCAAGCTGCAAGTAGTCGTGTGTGGATGGAGCCTGATTGCCGACCGGGGCCATGCAACGCGCGCAAGGAGTCAACCCCAACTCCATGCTATACCGATGTGGCAGCGCTTCATCCGCAGCAATGTATGCTGCAGCCAAGTTCTTCGGGGCCTTGGAGGCTCCAACTTGCGATGGCCAGCGTTGCAGCCCGAACCCCCTCTCTATCTGGTGGGCGCGTCATCGCAGGCCAGCCTGTTCACCACCGCTCAGGGCCCGCAGTTGCAGAGAATATCGAATCTACGGTGTCAGCTCCGGCTGAGACATGATCCTCGGACATTCCTGCACCCTTCCCTCCGGCCGGGATTCCCCGAAGCCGTGGGCTCTCCTGCGAGAAGTCGGGCATCACCAGCGGCCTGTGGACCCTCCACCTCACGGGACCGCGGCGTGCTCTGCCAGTTGGCAAAAGGCTCACAGGTTCGCGAATTGGCTCTCTCCGTGCTTGCGGAGTAAGTCAGCCTATGGGCCCATCTGTGCGTAAGGGGTACAGGGTATAGCTTCATCTTCTTTGGGTTTGGGCCATGGACAACATGAAGCTTCCCGGGCTCCCGGACAGGAAGAGCCGCGCCGCCTGGACAGGGATGACGGGTCATCGCAGCTAAACATTCCCTCAACGGCCCTCGAGCCCACAAGAATTTACAACATAGGTTCATCTTGACCCATTAGCTGCTATATAGAATCTGCCTCAAAGGAACCTTTGGAGCCTTTTGGGCCCCCAAACGGCCTTTCCGAGTCTGGACTTCGAAGCCCCTTATAAGGCGTTCCCGAACCAAAACTTCAGGCGCATTTTGTAGGACAATAGCAAGGCCATGGCGCCAGAGACCGCCACCTATAGGGGCCACAACCGATCGCAGAGTGCAAGGTGTTCGACACCAGCGCCAAGGCACGAGGCTCTGAAGCATCGCTTCGAGAACGTTCTTGACCCAAGATCGTTCCATAGCTTTCAATAAGCAAGATGCTGTCATCCCGCATATTTGTGGGTTCAAAGTTTGAGGGCTCTCTGCGACTCCAACTCATCTTGTGGTTTCTACACCCTCTCAACACAAAAACCCACGCCGAAGAGCGAACTACCTTTCCACTCTGGATGGTGCAACGTTAGACGTCCCCCCACCCCCGAGCCTCGCTGGCTTTGAGGGGCTTCAGGGGGTAGCCCACCACCTTCGGGACGGGGGATTTCGGCTTTGGAAACGTTGAGTTGTCGGTTGGGGTTGAAGCTCAATGGTTCAGTCGGCTTTCCGGGCTTTTCGGGGCCAGAGTCTTGCCAAGAAGCAACCGAAAGGGGAGAACGGCCACCTCCCCGAATTCTCGACATGCTGTGCCTTATAAGAAGGATGGGTGCTTAGGGTTCCCGAGCCCGACGCCTCCTCTTACCCTCTCAAAGAAATATATGGATCATCATGAACAATCGTACCAACAGCAGCACCAAAAAAACTAGCCCCGCAGACTAGAAGACCCACATCCATCGGTCAAAACAGGATGGCACGCACGGCTGGCCACGGCCTTGTGGGCCCCCAGCGCCCGAAAAGGCGCCTGGTCAAGGTGCGCACACACACACACACACCACACCTCTACTCATTTGAGGCCTTTTGAAAGGCTTAAAGATGTTTAGGGGATGTTTAGGGGTGTTGATACTTTAAGCTGTTGTTTCTTCGGGTTTGGCGGGCGGGAGGGGGGGGGGGCTCGAGAGTTGGCCAGGCTGGGAGACAGCGCCCCGTGCCGACTGGCGGCCGGCTTTTCGGGCGATAAGAGCAGCGAGCACGGCGAGCACATCGAGCACATGGCCCCACATCGTCTCCCACGTCTCCCGTTATTTTAACGGCTCTCGGGAAGAACTGCCGCAAGGCAGGAGCGCTTGGAGAGTGTTGGAAGTGACTCCCTTTCTCCCTTTGAACATGCGGACGACGTCTTCTGGGAGTCGTGCCTCAAGCAACAGCCAACTGCCTCCCAAAACCTGAACCCTTCCAAAACAGCAACCTCAACTACAAAATGACCGTGCAGACCCTTGAAGTGCATGATCCAAAAAGCCTGAACCCCTCCCGAAACAACGCCAACAACAAACCCTCAACCACACCTGAACAGCCGAAAGGGGGCCTCGCGGGCGCCCAGGAAGATCTCGAGGCGCTCCGTGCGGAGCAGCAGCTCCGTCAGGACCTTCCTGGGGTGCCAAAAGGGAGGCTGCTTCCGGAAGGAGCGCTTGTGCACAAACAAGAAGGGCTTATAGGGTTTTATCGGGTTTATTCGGTTCTTGTTTTTGGTGGGGGAGGGGTTTGGAAAGGTTGCAGAAGGGCTTATGGGCTGTGCGTGGCTTTCTAGGACGGGGTTGATAGCACAGTGCAGGCAAGGCGACTGTGGGAAAACCGTCTATCAGGCCAGGGGCAAGGACCCATCAGCAACGAAACTCAAACACGCCCACACATGCATGCAAGCTCTCACATATTGCCGTTGACTACTCACTACTGATGTGGGTAAACACGCCGCTATGTCTACGAGTCTTCACGACGAACGCATACCACCCCCACCGCCCCTCGTGTGGAAGTGGTGCCTCAGCTCTGCTGCACCCTCCGCGCTGGCCATGATGGGGTCCTGCATCAAAGTCACGTACGGCAAACTATCAACTTTCCCGAGCATGTCGCCCTGATTGAGGATTCGTCACCCCCTCCCGGCCCCGGTCCAGGTTGTCCAAGGCCAAGAGGACGGGCGCCCGAGTGGCTTCCAGCCGCTGGAAGCGCTGAACGATTCGACCTCTGCAAGTGACCAAGGCTTTGCTTCTCTCCTGTATCAGAACAGAATATACGAATGCTCTTACCTTTACCTGGCGGGTCGTGAGAAGAAGGCATCCGCGAGGGGAGGGAAGTATCGACAATGTCACGATGGCACGACAGAGGGTGTCTGGATTGCTTGTTGCTTTTTTGTCTAGGCTCGAAGGGTTTGCAGGCAAGATGCGAACCTGCCAGGGCCGCGCTCAGCCAGGAGTCAAACATTGGACACGCACCGCGCGAGATGTGCCCCAAATGGCAACAACAAGACTGCCAAGGCGAACGTTGTGTTTTCGTTTGCTTGGGTTCGCTATACGTAGCACTTGGACGCGGCCTGCTGAGCATGCGCGAGCGCTACGGCCTCGGTCCGCTCCTTGCATTTGGTGGCGCCCAAATTGATGCTCGCTTTCCCCTGTTCAAGCTTTTCTTGCCACCTGCCTAGCAGCCTCGCAACCACTCTGCGAGGATGTAAAGTGTCCCTCGGTCGTGGGAAGTCGAAACATAATTGAGGGAAAAAGAAGCTCAGATGTCCTTGTCTCCGCTGTTGATCCGAACGCCCACACGAATCAGAACCATACCCGAAGAGGAAGTACATGTGCAGCAGCAGGCAAGGGGCCATGGTCACTTCGGCGCCCTCCAGCGGTCTATCCTGGGGGCAGCAGGCGGGGTTCGTCATATTCGTCTCAATCACACCTCCGGGAACGTTTTCATGCAGCCATTTGCGGACCCACTGAATTCTCACAACTATATACCTTCAGCAGATGAGACTTCCGATGCAAAGCCCCGTTCTCCAACCACTCCACCACGATGCCGAAGCGTTCTGGACGTTCATACAAGCCCTCGACCCGGCGGCTCTAGAAGTATAGCCGGTTCCCCGCAGAAACGGAGAGCTTCAGCAAAACACTGCAGGTCTCCAGCTGGATTTATGAGTCTATGCTTGTATCTAAGCCGCCCATTGCGATTCAAGAACCTCAGCCCGCCCATATACGAACATCCCTGAATCTGCGCCCCGAAGGCCTCGAAGCTCCCCTCAGCGTCACGCCGGGATGCTGCAGGCGCGCTCTCTACTCTCTCCAGGGCAGTGCTCAAAATTCGAAAGGGCCGCAAACCACAAACAGTAGGATCCTCTATAGGGAACTCTACTTCCCCAAACCCTCTTGGCTGCTGGCCCTTTGGAGGCTCCGGAGCCTGCGGGTGGTCCCGTGGTCGTGACTTTTCTTGTTGTAGGGCTTCAGATCCGAGCCGGCGCGCTGACTCCTGCTAGATACTCAGCGAACCCTCTGCGCTCTGAGGATCCTGCATCGGCGCTCGTGGCTGGCTGCTTTGGCTCTGTATAGGTCGTATAGGTGGGACCAAGTTTACCCTAAATTGGGTTCACGCATTTGTGTGCTTCTGCTTACAGGCAGATGTAGCTTCGCCTTGCAAGGTGCCATGTGCAAACATCTATGATATGGTGCAGCTGTGCTGAACCGAAACTCACCCCGGGCAGCCAGCCGCTGCGCAACCGACCAATTGATACAGGTGGGAGCGGACGGAGAACTCCACGGAGGGACAAAACGACACAAGTTCAGCCCAGAGTTGCAAATCTCAAAAATATCCTCTTAAGCAGAACTACAAGGCCCCAAATCAAATATTCTCGAAATCGATGTCGGAGCGCCCTGTTTTTTGTCGCGTTTCAGGACCTCTGCAGGGTGACTGTGTGAGGACCCGTGCAAAAAAAGAGGCGACCTTGTCAGGGACCTGTTTCACACTTCTCCAAGGCCACCCGTTCGAACGGCAGAGGGAACCGCCTTGCCAACAAAAGTCGGATAAACGAAGGCATGAATATTGTATATGCATCATGGTTGCTTCTCCATGCGTGTGCAGAAACGTTAACTTACCATTGGCACAAAACCACCCCCAACGCCATCCTCAGTGCCAGTGCCGTCTTCTCACTTCTTTTCCTTCTTCTTCCTGTGGTTATGGGGTTTGGGGGGGGGGGAGGGGAGGTTGTCATCTGGCAAGATTCGCACCCACATACCTGGACGTCGAGAAGCCGGAGTTAGAAGAATGTCGGAGTGACAGTGCCGTGCCCCGTGTCCACCTTTCAGACACATGTGCCCTTGCAGGTACTGCGAAAAATGTGCTTCAATTTCCAGGCCTGCGTTGCTCTCATTGGGCCCGTTGGCCTCAAGACTCAAGACCTTGCATACGAAGTTCATCAACCGCCAATGAAAAATATCAGTCAACGAAAAGTCTTTACGCATTCCCACAGATGTGTTCGGGCAGCGTCAGCTGCATGGCAAGATTCCTGTCGCATCCAGAGTCAGAGTTGGCAACAGCGCAGGCCCATGAGCGAGGAGAAGGGGCCCGGCCCGTTAGAACAACAACCAGAGCCAGAGACTAAATTTTCTATCTACAACACAAATTCAGTAGTAGTAGTAGTAGTAGTAGTAGTAGTAGTAGTAGTAGTAGTAGTAGTAGTAGTAGTAGTAGTAGTATGCAATGGCACGCTATCTCACCATTGTGCAAAAAAGGTACGCGAACTGAGGCCCAATTGCTCTGCAGCCCCAAGGCTATGAGGCTGAGTATGTTGAAGCGGCGACTTTTTGCGGCGCGCCTTTTGCTCGCGATGCGCATCGCGCGTCTTGCGTGCATGCGGCCAGTGGCCAACTATAGGTTCACGTGTTCCACGTGTACCTTTGTAGCTTCATATAGCTTAATCATCGAACCTTTGTGCGATTCTCGGTAGGCCGCAGATCTCCGCATCTTTGGCAATCATTCGCTTGGCGAATGCTGCAGGCGGAGGAAGCCCGATTGTACGTCGAAAGTGTCCATTTCATGCATCGGCAAGCTTACCGGCATGATACCCTATGAATTACATCTCCACCTGGAAACATGCCATTATAGTAACAACAGACTTGAGCATACTGCCGGACCCCGCGTTCAGGCCGGCGTGGTTCACCGCTTCACCTGCACACAAACGGAACGATGCAGCAAGCCCGGAAACCCCACAAAAGATCTTAAGTGCACAGCCGGCCGGTTGCTGCCACTACAGTACACCTTGCTAGGACGGTGCCCACCTCACAGAGCCTTACTGTTGTCGCGCATGTTCTTCATCCGCGCAAAGGAACCTTGAAAAAGCTCGGACTACGCCGCACAATTGCGCCAGAACTTGTGCCAAAGTACACTTGTAAATTGACATGCTTTCTGGTCCGAGGGGCATCATCCAAGGCTGCATCTCGCGCCATCTCGCGCAGGCGCATCAAGCGCATCCAGCCGCCGATAACCACGTTTCCGGTGGCGGTTTCCTGGAGCGTGGACAGTAGTGGAAAACGATACAAAATCATGGACCAACGGAGCTGCAAGCGCAATGGAACACACGGAGATGCTCTGATAACCTTCTGGCTGCATCGATCAGCGTCTGTCAGCCGATCATACTTGACCCGCCTGACTCCCCGCAGGTTCGGATTCCAAGCGCAGGCCGGTCTGCAAGGCCTGCTCGCTGGGCACGAAGATGGATCCGCGGCGGGGGTGGGGGTTGCAAGAATAGTACTGAGATCTGCTACAGTGCTGAGCTTACTAACAATATAGCGGCAGCATCACTGGAGCGTGAACCATCATACCCTGGTTCATGGCCGTGCTTTCTGAAAGTTAATGCAACCGGAAGACATTCCCGACAGAAACGCAAGTCGACCGCAATGTGTATGACCCCGCGCCGGGGTTGCGCGGCTCGCTTCAAAGACCAACGTCCACGCCACAAGACTTTCGATGAATCGACAACTGGAAACGACTTGGTTCACTGGGTGAGGCTGCAAGAAGAGATTGTTTCGCAGACCAGCTTCGGTCCTCGGAATTGGCTGCGGGGGAGTGCTTGGCCTGGACACAGGCCGTTGTCATGCTTGTTCCTTACATCGGCGTTTTTGTTTCGCATTACGCCGCCCTTGCCGAGCACGCGGTAGCCAATCAGCGCTATCGCACGGCTGCACGGCTGCAATGCTTCGTTGCAATGGACCATATAATATGGTGCTGTTCCTCGCTTTTTTGGGCCCACTACAACTCACTACGGATGCCATCAGAGGCCCTCCCCCCAACAAGAGTCCCCGGAAATTTGGAGGCTTCCCCTCCTCCCCTCCCTGTCCCCTCCCTGTCTCCTCCCTGTCCCCTCCCGCTCCCCTCCTTGCTTCCCTATCAACAAGTCACGTGCAGTAGAGCCAGTGTGGCCGGGCAGGCCTTTGAGTTGGTCCTTTGCAGCTGGCCTTTTTGGGCTTTTTTCAGCTTACGGTGTGGGTTCGGGGGCTGCAAATGCCTGTAAGGTCGCGCAGACTCAGTCTAAGCAAGGGCTAGGAGTTTAATTAGGGTTTGGGGGCTGTGGTATAGTTCTGGTAACGACATTCGGCGCACGTTTGAAGCTGCAGCAGGCAGTTTGGCGTGGCAAGGTCTGCCATCGGCCACCGGCACAGCAACTCCACAATCCGACGGCCAGAGCCTCCTCTGACCCGGCGCACCCATAGTGATCCCTGAAACCTGGGAACCCGCACAAGTTTTTGCCTTCACTCGAAGCCATATATCAAAAAAACACTCTGCGCAAAAGCGCCGTGCAGTGAGGGGAATCGCAATGACCGCGTAGGCCTGCAAGTTGGCTGCGTCTGAGCTGGCCTCCGGCTGGGGGCAGCTTAGTGCTTCCGGCTAAGGTCTTGAAGACGGTCTGTACATAAGGGTTTGCAGGAGATCGATCGGGTTTGGCAAGCCCACTTCGAAGCTCAAAGAAGCTAACAGTACGGTCGTGTAACCCACATAGGCTGTGCAAGCGGCACAGCTTCTTCGCTCGTGGCGAACTTTCGGAAGAGCGCATTGCTGTGTGCCATGGCCTGCGCCTGTCGGAGGCTCTCGGTCTCTTCGGGGATCGGTTGCTGGGCCTGCCAGGCGCAGCGGAATCAAACTGCACATCGGCACTTGCTTGACAGACTGCTCGATTATCGATGCTACCTTGGAGCACCGCAAGCTTGCAGCATGCTCCTAACTATATATAAAGGGTAGCCCGCTTCTCCAAGAGCAGCTTTGGCGTGCGTGCAAAGCTTGCATGTCTGTGCCTGTCGGAAGCCTTCGGTCTTTTTAGGAATCGGTTGGTGGGCCTGCCGAGACGTCGAATCACAACAGCCACGCTGGTGCAACCGCGGTATTGATCAAGCAGTCATGTTTTCAACCCCCTCCAAGACAAGAAGCAAAACAGGAAAGTTGACTTCAAAAGCAAAACTTATCACTATACTGTTCCCCTTACAACGCATCAACCCCCGATAAGCAAGACTTGGCACTGTTTTTCATCCCCCAATAAGCAAGACTTGATATCTATCTTCACCATGCATCCCGATAAGCAAGCATACTAAGTCAAACTCAAACCCCCCCCCTTCCTTCCCCCCTTCCCCCTTCCCTCCCCCCCTTCCCTCCCCCCACCCCTCCCTCCCCGTCCCCCAGCCGTCCACTCCCAGAGCCCCCGGGCTCGAAATATGTCTAAAACTATTGCAAGACGCGCACTCCAACAGCGTCCCGGTCTCAAGTCTAAAGGGTCGCCTTGAGGAGAGCGCTGCCAGCATTCCCCGCTAAGGGGCTGGCGTCGTTGTCCTCCAAGTCTGTCGACTTCGTTCAACGGGGCCGAATGTTCAACAGGGCCGAAACAGGCCGAAGATCTGGCTTCGGGTTTGGGATTTCTACATGTCATTCGTGGACTGCACTCATCACACGTCACGCAAAGCTGCGAGATAGGTTTGGCGGCTGAGATTTCTCAAGTACTCGGAGCGCTCACTGCTCCCGAGGGCCCAGTGCTCAAAGCTGCGCGAAAGCTCGCCTTCGCAGGCATGGCAGCCAAGGTCTTCGCATCCAGCTCCTCATGCCTCCAGCCCACGCGAACCCCGTATGCGTGCCCGCGTGCCCATTCGGGCATCAGCTATTGGCAAGATCTGGCAGAGCAGAAAGCAGACATGTTCAAGAGCATAGCGCCGGCATAGCCTGGACTCCAGAAGCTCCACGGCTGCCCCGCAGCCCTCCAGCAGCTCTTCCGCCAGTTCGCAGGGCTTTGGCGGCTTTGCACCCGTCGGATCCTGCCAAAACATGCGCACGACGCACCGGTATTTCGAAACATCACTTTCACAGAGGTGGTACGACCTGGAGCTGCCAAGCTCTTTGCTCTCCTCACTCTCTCGCAGAGTTGACATGTGGCATTCTTGAGTCCTTACGTGCACGGAAGACCCCGGCCGTGATCTTGGAACCTTCCGGGATGACGCAGATGCTGTCGATCCGCTTCGGCAGCAAGGAGCCCTGCGTGGAGGCAACAGCTTGAGGCGCGGGAGACACAGAAGCAGTATGTTCAACCACAACCCACGCGGCCCTGCCGTGCAGATGTTGGTCGGATATGGGATCTCGACGAAGCTTGCGCGCACTCCGTGCAGGTGCAGTAGTGAAGCCACCGCCTCTCAGTCTAGAGACAGGGACCCGCTGTAGCAGCTCTAGCAAAACAGTTCATAGTTTTATTCCATGCAAAGCCCGCAAGCGCAAGCATCCGCACGCCTCCTCCGGGAAGTTGAGGTCTGCCAGCAGGAGAGTTGGCTGCTTGTCTTTCGCCAGCATGGTCTTGAGGCACTTGCAGAACTCCCGGCGAGCGGGACCGAAAGGCTTCCCAGGCAGATGCCTTAAGGGCCACGGGACACGCGGGCGATCAGAGACTTTGGGGACTGCGGTGCCTACGCACTGTCAGCGAGAGTTTCGTGCTTTAAACGCTGCCGAGGCACGTGGTCACTACGCGGATCGGACTGTGGCAGGACTTCAACCGAAACTTCGCTTCCAGAATTGCCTGCACGAAGCGACTACCGCGCATTGCTGGACGGAGACAGAGAGAGAGAGAGAGGGATAGAGGGAGAGAGAGAGTTGGGTGCGGGGGGGAATGCGAGAGGAAGATAGCGCAACTGCGCGGAAACTGGCCTTCTTCTTGTCAGATGGGTAGGCCTCTGCACTGTTGCTCAAGAAGGTCAGCTTCGCTTCGTTGTAGATCAGTGCCTGGCCGGGCACCCCCCCCCCTCCGGCCCATCAAAACGCTGCAATCCGAAAACCAAGCTTGCTTCAAGGACCGGATAACCTCGCAAGTGTACTTTGTTCCTGAGCATTTATGAGACGTTCAAGCCTTACTATAAAAGTCTATAGTCATAGCAGAGCATCATTGTATGGCATGTGCGCCTCCTGGTTCTTGTCATCTTCCGCGCCGCCTCGTACCAGCGCAAGCCTGTGAGGGTTTCCACTCGCTTCCAGGCTGCTCCGGAGCGACGCCAGGAAGCTTTGCGAGCATTCCTGGAGGCAGAGGAGGTGGACTGGCGCAACTTGACGGCTCATCATGCTCAGCACCATCCCGACAATCATGCGCTCGCGCGCATCCGCCCCTGCGTCATCGACGTCGGTGTTGTGCAGGTCACAGATGAGCGACTCGTTGAGCCCCTGCGTGTTCGCCTGAATGTGGTTCACGTAGGCTTTGTTCAGGACGTTCCATGACGCCACATGCAGCGTCTCCTCTGTCTCCTCCGCTGGCACGGCGACGGTGGCTCCGACGGGGGGGTGATCCGATGGGAAGCGCCAGTCTTTCCCCAACGGCAAGGCCACTGGGGTGCTAAAGGCACCCAAAGCGTTGATCACCAGAAGGTCGGCGGTGCCTTCCAAGATCCGTTGCGCCATCTCCAGCTGATCTCTGGCAAGTCTAGATCTGGCCTGGGCATCCTTCGCCTCTGAGACGCTCGGATCTACGTGGGTCTCCAAGCACAGGCTTCGAATTTCCTCCAGGCAGAGGCAGGCTTCCTTGGCAGCTTCCGCCTCCTCGTCCTGGTTCTTTTCGAGCCTTGCGCGCATCTGGCTCAGCTTGCTGCCTTGGCTGCATCATGACGGCTGTGCTTGGCGGCGCACGAGCTATATTTTAGGCTAAGTGCCCCAAGCTGCAAAGTACCTGCAAGTCCTGCAGCGCATCCGTTCTTGTGGCCTGCGTCTCGCACTTCAGCATCTTGATCAACGTCTCAGCATGCGCGGCTAGCTGACACAACTCCGCCGCAGCTCCCTGCAACATGGGCTTCAGCAGCTCCAACATGGCCACATTCGCCTCTTGCTGCCACCCACGCTGTGCGAAAAAAACGCTTCGCTCCCAGAGACGTTTGACCTCGTTGCAACATTGGAGGCGCTATAGGGCCGCTATAGGGATTGCGCATAGGCTCAGGGTGAGGGGCGTGAGGGGAGGTTGAAGCAGCTAGGGAATTTGCCAGCAGCTTAGCGGATGAGCAAGTGACACACAGCAGCACAGCCCTTGCTGAGGAGCCCACGTACTTCATGGGTTTCGGGTGCTTCGCTGAGTAATCCCTGAGGCCTTCCCCGAGGTACTCGATGACGTTGGCGTCTCTTGTGATTGGGACGATCCCGTCGCCGGCCGCAGAAAAGTACCCGACATAGAGGACGTTGGTGACCTCGACGAAGCGCTGTTCAGCGGTCTCGTTCTGGAACATGTCGGTCTTGGCGAAGATGTCGATTTTGGCGGTGCGGTCTCGGGAAGTGCAAGCGAGGGCTTCCTGTAGCGAGATCTCGCCCTTGTAGCCTTCCTCGATGTCGGAGAGGCTCCATTTCAGCAGGTCGTCGCTCTTTTTGTCAGATTTGGGGTCTCCCGTCTTCAGGCCGGCCCAGTGCAAGCCCTGGTCTGCCTGGTCTGTCCAGGATGACTTGAACTTCTTCTGGAGCAGATCAGCCAGCTGTCTCAAGGCATCTTGCTCGTCTTTGGCCTGAAAGATCAGGTACTCCGACAGGTCCACGTCGCCCGGAAAGCGGACGACCTGAAATCGGAAGCTTCCTGCCGGGCGTGTGCTGTCCCAAATCGACACTTTGGGTATCACCTTTTGCAGGCGCTCACCAAGGTCTGCCTCGAAGCGTTCTGCTAGGAGCCTTGCCAAGCGGCACGTCGTGCATCGTTGGGCAAGAAGGTCTTGGCCACACTTCTCCTCAAGGCACGGTCTGTTGCGCGCGAGCTCCTCAACACTCCACAAAGACAGGTCGCGGTCTTCCAGATTACAAGAGCTGGAAACTTGCCAGTCCAACTCCAAGCCATCCTTGCCTTCATTTCCGCTGTCTGAGGCTTGTAGCGCCTTGTAGCCAGCCAGGTTGAAGCCAGTGGCAACATGAAAAGCCTCTAAGGCCGCCTGAGCTGCTTTGGCAGCCTCGTTGCCCTTGGGATCTTCATCATGAGATCTTCCATGAGATCTCGCGTGGATTCGCAGCAGCTTCTGGCTACTCAGCGGGAATAGCGACAAGGCAACGGTCATGGCCACGCCACCTGCTGTTACTCTCACCTCGACTCGATTGCTGAACACTTGGGGCGGGCCGGGTTTGACGGTCAGCTCACCCTTCGGTTCGTCTTCGGCCTCCTTATGCTCCATACTCAGACTCATTTGCTTGTAGAGCATCGCCGCCAAGTCGGGAAACAGATTCGGGGACACGAAGCCATCCAGGTTCACGTAGATGACCTCGTCTGCTTTCCTCACTGGTGCTTCTGGAAGCTGAGCCCGGGGGAGGCATGAAGGTATACTGAAGAGGTGCTTCTCCGCGCCTTGGTTCATAAGCCCTCGCCTCAGAAGAAACTCGTGCAACAGCTTCTGCTGGGGTGGCTCGAAATCCGTGCGCCAGAGAATCTCCAGAAATTCTTGGGTGGCTACGCCGCTCGTCCTGAACCGGAGCACGTCTCCATGCTCTGCCTTCTGAACTCGCTCGTCGATCTTTTTAATGTAGTCCTCGGAATGCTGCCACTTTCCATCGTGCCGGAAGCGAACCAACATCAGGCTTGTCAGAGCAAGCGCTACCTTCCGAGGAGCCAGCATGACCTCTTTCTTCAAACCTGGTTCCTTGAACCAGATGAGTGTGCCCAACGCATTCAGCCGTTCCAGGAGGAGCTCGACTTCGCCTGTGGCATCACAGCACTATTTTTCACTAACTTAGCGATCGTCGCTCAATACTACTGCTGCTTCACCACAGTGGAACTGAGACACTCGACCCACATTTTGGCAACAGAATCAGGCCTAAAATTCAACTTGGTGGACGCACGGCTAAAGTAGAAACGAACGGGCACAAACAACCAACATAAACTTGACTTTGCTAGCCTTTCTTGTCACTACATCTTGTACTCAGAAATGCAGCAACGACAAAGATAATTTTTTGCAATGCGTATATACTCACACGCACAGACACAGACATGGACACAGACACATACACAAACACAGACACAGACACAGGCACACACACACACACACACACATGCACGGACATGTTTCACAGATGTGCCCATACACATGTTCACCAAAATGCTTCAACATGCACGGCTACGTGTATGTGGAATTGCGCGCTCAGGACGTCTCACCACATGTCAATATATGTATATATACATATACATACATGTAAATGAGTTTTAAAAATGTGTCGCTCTGCTTTAAAACGCACGCGTTTTGGCATCGTCGTCAAGCAGCCCACATCTTCAAGCCCATTTTCTGAAGACAAAATAAACTGAAACGTATCCTTTTTGGATGAGGGGGAAGGTTGGAGGCGACGGCCTCAGCAGCTGGGACAAGAGATGTTGTGGCAAGAATGCAACAAAATGAGGTTAACAAAATTAGGTGTTTCTTTGCTGGTTGTGCCCATTCGTTTCAATAGCTTTGCGCAAGAGATGAAATTAGTGGCAACAGCACAAACAAGATCGGAGGGAGTTGTTTGGAGAACAAAAGTCCTCCAAGCAACTCCGTGTCACGTGTCACAGGGTGGAAACCCAACAACCTTACCTTTGAAAATCCTGTCCCTTGAAATGTTTATATTTCTAGCCGGCGACACGGAGTTGCTTGGAAAACAAACTCCAAACTCTTGAAAAAAACGCTTGTTTCGGCTTCCGGTCAAGCAACCCATATTCTATTTTTGCAAAACACATAATTACAAAAAAAAAACAATAAAAAAAATTCCCTCCAACCGCGCGCCTTGATCGAGGCCCTTCGGCTGCATGCCCTGCAGGAGCTCCTTCACATCAGCCAGCTTGATGAAGTCGTCGGACAGAGTGACGTGGATGTCCTCACAGGTCCTGCACGCCGCCCTAAGGTCGGCACCGGGAGGTGCTCTCAAGTCTTGGCCGTCCAGTCCCTTCACCTCCAAGAAGCTCGTCGTCTTGGCCACCACTGCCGGCCCCGAGCATTTGGGACAGAGGGGTGGATTCTCAGAGGACTGCTCAGTCTGCATCTTCTCCAGGCACTGCAGGAGCTTCCTCTGGGAGGCTGTGCCCGAGAAGCCTTCCCCCAGCTTGTTCAGCAGCTCATAGCCTCGCAGCCAAGCTACGGGGTAGCAGTCTGAGTTCATCCCGCAATGAGGCTTGACTGCCTTGCCCTTGGCGCTGGATCGCGGGAGGAACGACTCGCTGGCTGCGGCCGTCACCGCTTCTCGGAGCTTGTCTATGCCTTTGCAACCAAGATGGCCAAGGCGGGGCTGGGCCACGCGTGGTGGTGCAGCTGGGGGGGGCGGGGGAGGAGGGGTGGAGGGGGGATGGGGGGCTGGGGCTCGGGAGGGTGGTGGGGGCCTGGGCGGAGGGGGTGGCTTGGCTTTGTTCTCCACAGGAAAAAGCCATTCGCAGCAGCATGCCTCTTCATTGCAGACTCCAGGGCCCTCCTGCATGAGCTCCCGCATGGCAGGGACCTGCTGGAAAAAAGCCTCCAAACGCTTCTGAAGCCACTTGTCGACACCATCTTTGCGACTGTCCCACTTTGTTCCGACCAGGAACACCGGGGGCAGGGTCTCCTTGCCTTCCTTTTCAGCTTGCTTTGCAACCTGGGCTATGGCCCACAACCAATACTTGAGGTGTGCCCATTCCTCCTCGAGATCGCCGCTGAGGTCAGTCATGACCAGGTAGATCGCCTGCGAGGTAAAGTAAAGAAGGTTCAGCTGCGCGTACTCACGCTGGCCCGGAAAATCCCAGGCCTGCAGCCGGAGCTGCGGCCCAGGATTTTCCGAGTCTCCTGCGCCTCCGCCCCCTCCGTCTGCTTTGCGTCTTCTGCTCAGCTGCAGCGTGAGGTCTTGGCCCAAAGGTGCTGGGCCCACAGTCACCCCCAGCGACTCTTGAGGCTCCCGAGCCGCCGCTTCCTTTTCCTTCACCTCTGCCTCATGCTGCTGCTTGATCTTCCGCTCCTCCTCTGCCTCCTTCCGTCCCTCCTTCCATCCCTCTTCCATCTTCTCCTGCTCCTTCTGCCTCTCCGCGCTATCATCTTTCTTCTCCTTCGCTTGCTGATGCGCGAGCCGCAACCTCTGCAACTTCTGCGACCTCTCCTCCTCCTGCCGGATGCGCCACTCCGCAGCTCTCTCCTCTGCTTGGGTTCTGAGACCGGCCGCGGCCGTCCCTTCGAGCACGGAGCTTTCTGCCATCTGCCACGTGCAGTCGCACGAGTCGGCGGCAACGTCCTTCTGCACCTCGCGCGTCCACACCTCCACGCCGGCTGTGGACGCCTCTTCATTGGGCAGCACCTCCTCGCCCTGCAGCCGCCTTGTCCGGGGAATCACTTTTGTCACAGAGCACAGCAGGCACAGCCTACACACGCGGCTCACACAACAGCGGGCTGCTTGTTCACGAGCGCGCACGCGCCTGAGCGTCGTCGTCTTGCCTGCACGCCCCCTGCCCACAAGGCAGAGCCGGACCACTGGTAGGGGCTCCAGGCCTGCCTCCTGCCACCTGCAGAAAGATAAAAACTCTACATAGGATTCGGGGATTTTGCAGCTCATTTCAACGCTTCGATGCGAATCTCTGCCCTAAACAGCGGCCCCGACCCCAAGGAGCCGGATTTGCCCCAAGGCGCTCTTCTGCTGCCAGAAAAAGCTTTCTTGGAAAACGGCTTTTTGTTTGCATGACATGGCAAAAGACATGAATCGCAAGGCCGGGCTTCCGCAGTGACAAGAAACGCAAGCAGGGTGCTACCTCCCCAGTCACGTAACAGCCAGTCTAGCCCTGCAAGACTGCCAGGCTCGCGCACAAGCACCTTGAATGATCCTTCAAGCGATGGCCCAAAGATGGCCCGGTGAGCTTTGCCATGTTGCATCATGTTCCTGTATGCTTTCCGACTCTGAGTGATGAGGTCTGCAAGAATCGTTGACACGAGAGCTGTCGAAAGCATACTGAGCACAACAGACATCTCCCACGGCCTCTGGAAGAGCTCTTCCAAAAGCTGCTGCCAGGGCACCTTGTCATAAGCCAAGATCCCAAAGAAGCACTGCGGCAAATGCGCCGAAACTCCCCCGCCCCCCCCCCCCCCCCCCCCCCCCGCTCCCAGCCTCGGGATAATGAGGGAAGTAACAGCCACATGGGTTTCATTACAACCAGAACAGGCATTTTGCAACTGGAAAAGCACCTGAAGGCCTGAAGGCAGAATTTGCAACCAGAAAATAGGAGAGTTTGCGGCCAAGCATCCAAAAACGGTGAAATTACAACCAGCTTACTTGAGACTTGAGGATTTGGGATTAGGAGTTTAGACGTGAGGGGTTTAGGTTTAGGTGTGGGAGGTTGCGTACGAGTGTTTAGAGTTGAGGCTTTGGATTTAGCTTTAGCTGTTGTCTTGAAGCTTTTATACTGTTTGCAGAGCACCAAGCTGCGTCTACAGCAGTCTGGTCTGGCGGGGTGCTTCGAACCCACCCAAAAGCCCTGCACCCCAAGCCCTGTCCTATAAGTAAACAGAATAAAGACAGCAACCAAGACCAACAAGCACACAGAGGATCCAAAACGCAGCCCCATATGGACACCAAACCCTGCTCCCGCCGCAGAGAGTATGAAAGCGCGTGCCGCCCAGTATAGTGTGCAGAGCTCTGCAGTGCCGCATGGTACCCGCAGGCGTTTGCCGTTTGTCATCTACGACATCATCACCGCCAATTAACAAGACTTGGCAGCGCTTCTGCAACCTGACCGTGGGCCTCATGAAGATTTCCTTGAGGGCACACCCAAGGTCTTGCCTGAGATCAACAACACAATGGATCATGAGGACCTGTTGGAAACTCTCCCGGAGGAAGTTCATCTCGAGACACCTACGCGTATACGGGCACCATCAGAACCTGGAGGTAGGAACCGTGCTGCTTTGGATCCTTTGCCTCTCATGGGTGGTGCCAGAGTGCAGAGCGAGCCATGCACATATACATCGCCGCGGCACATGCCGTCTGGCTTCAGTCCCAGCACACTGCAGGGCTGTGGAGGCGGACGGCGCGAAGCATTGGCAAGCAAGAGTTCAACTCCTTCACATCCGCTTGTATCCAATGTGTTGCGCAGATGGGGGGTTTCCGAGATTGCCATGGAATCATACGGACCGCCGCGGATGATCGAAGAAGGAGAAAGGCCCGGAGCTTGCCCCGGCAATTTCTCACGCGTCAGGCATACATGCTCCAGAAACGCTTCTGCGCACTGCGTTTGTGGGTCTGGCACACTTCTTTGTCGCAGCTGTGCCGTCGCCGCCCTCCATTGTGCAGAGGTGCCCCACGCAATCGTGCAGGTGTCTGAGTGAGGACCACCCCTGAAAGCCAGGATTGGTTCTTTTGTTGTTGGTTGTTTTCTGTTATAAGTTTTGCTTTGGAAATCTTGTGGTTTAGGGTGCTTGGGGCTTTGCAGGGTTTCGCCCTCGGGCGTATGGCTTTGGGATTGTAGGGTTCTTAGGGCTGATAAGGATTTAGGTTTTGTTTAGGGTCTATTTTCTTACAGCTGAGGGCCTAGGTTTTTTGTGAGGGATCAGGGTTGTCAGGGTTTATGTAGGTCTCAAATTGTCTCAAGCTTCTAGGTTCAGGTTGGTTTTGGGGGCTTCGTAGATTCCTTCTTTCCTCTCCCGTCTCGAGTCCCTCTCCGGCCTCGAAGAGGTCCAAGGCCCAGAGGTCGCCCACATCTACCCCACCTCGCTCTTCGGGCTTTGGTCTGTGGGGGGCCCCCGTGCTGCAGTAAACGGAAAAGCTCTCCGAGGCCGCCGCCTTCGCCCACCCCGCCGAAAAGGAGCCAGGACCCGGAGGCGGAGTCGAAGGCCGCGGCGTGCGAGGACCGCGCTGCGGGGCTCGCTGCAACAGGCGGGAGCAGCTCCCAGCGCCGGGCCTCGCGCAAAATCTCACATTTCGACTGAGGGGGGACCGTGGGAGGAGGGCAGCTGCCGCAAGTGCAAGCGAGCTTGGGATTTCTGTCCGAGTCCAAGGCGAGGAAAAACTGTTGCTGGAGCAGTGGCCGGCTGCATCTCTGCCGATTTGTTTTGCCTTCTTTTGAGGCCCCTCACCTCTCCCCTATTCACAGTGCAACTTGATGGCCGATTCTTTCAGCACGTGGGTCCATGCGTCCTTTGTATGAGCGAGTCTCCACCCAACCAGGCCCCAGGAGATGACAAAGGCCACTGTGCTCGGTTCACCTGCATGCCGCTTCCCTCATCCCCTGCTTGATGTGTTTTCTTCATGCCTGGGGTGCGTTGCCAGGATCCGGTGATTGTGATATTGTTTCTTCTTTCTCTCTGTGCGAAGACTTGCTTTCCTGACGCGAGACGAACTCCCCAAAAGGTCATTCTTGGCTCAGTTTGGAAGCTCCCCTTGATGGTTTGTAGAAACTATGTTGATTCCCTGGCCACTGGCTCTGTCCGTACGCGTTGTTTCTGCTAGGAAATGAAGCCTCCCCACCTGCAACAGCAAAGTGCGCTTTCGGCTACTTGGCTTCGGTCCTTTTGCTACTGTCCTTAATTCTCATCTGCTTATAGTGCTGCTTTCACCTAGTGCATGCTAGCTGAGACAACATCAGCTGAGACAACATCAAAGAAACCTACTGAGCTTGCGAATGCCTAGTCGGGCTTGGTCGTCGTGAAGGGAAGGGGGATTCGAGTAAACATCAGTGTGCATCCTTGCAGGGTGCCCCGGGACTTCCTTGTCCAGTGTGCACCCTGGGATGCACACTGGACGCTGAACATGATGTTTATTGGACCCGGTGCGTGTCGAAAAGAGCGCCGTTTTCAGACTCCAGTGTGCGCCCTGCTGTTCTTGCTTGCTTTATTCGCTTCTCCCTAGGGTTTGTTTTTGGCCAAGAATGTTCTGTATTCCTGTGTTTCTTCTCACTTCTTGAGATGTCTTTTTGTTTGCTAAGAATGTTAGACATGTTGTTTTTCTTATTCCTTAGGGCTTCTTTTTGGTTTTCTGTTGAGATTGTTTTGTCTTCCAAGCTTCTCAGGGTTTCTTTTGTGGCTATTCTGTTTAGAATGATTAGTTTTCCTGTGTTGTTTTTCCTAACTCCTTAGGGCTCGGCTTGAGGCCTTTCAGGCTTTACCTAAAATGTAGGGTTTAGGGTTTAGGGAAAAAGTAAACTCAACTACACTCTTTCGATCTTCAAGGCCATTCTTTGCAGGTTTGGGATTCTCTTGCTAATTTTTTAAAGTTGAGATTGCCTTCAAAGATTTAAGACTTCTCTTGTTTGAGGCGGTGCATTTGAAGTTTTCTGAATCGCATGAAATTAGGGCGGGGCCCTGTGCATTTTGCGGCAGCTGGAAAATGCATGGAGGGCTTCCGGAAGGACAACTGCCTTACCCCTCACAGCACGGGGGGGGAGGGCCCTGTGCATTTCGCAGCTGCCGGAAAATGCATGGTGGAATGTCCCCTGCATGTGCCTTTGGACTGGATGCGCACTGGACGCTTAACATGATGTTTACTCGATGCTTAACTTGATGTTTGCACGACCCTGACCCCTCATGAAGTCTACCCAGTCTGTCTTCCTTCGAATGTCCATCCTTACTCTCCCCATGGGCTACTTTCTGCTACTACTACGAGTACCTGAGTACCAGTTGTACCAAGCTGCCACAGTCATACTGCTTTGTGAAACGCACATTCACGCACGAAACGCAACGCAGCGCAGATCGGCTCAATGCACATGATGGTCCATGATGCTCCCAAAAACGCAGTCGGTCAAAATTCTTTCACAAAACCCATGAAGTATGCTAAGGAATTAATCTGGAACGCAGGCCGGAGTTCAAACGATCAAGATGCGCCGGTTGGCATATGTTGACGTGTCTTCAAGGCGCCTTCCGTCTGCACGCTGCTTGGCGTAGCCACCCGAAGGGGCTGTTGGTCAAGGTGAAACTAAACTAAAAATTACCTCGCTTGAGGTGTTGCGTTCTGAGCTAGGCCCTCTCTCAGCTGCAAACCCTCAGCACTTCGCGAGGCCGAACTTTGCCCTCCGCATGCATTGCTGTTGAGGCACTTGTGGCATCAGCCTCCGTAAGTTTGGCTATCCGCACTCAGCACTGGATGTTCTGTTCGAGGCATTATGCCCTCAGCGCATGCGAGGCCGCAAAGTGAAACACGTGAGGTATGAAAGACAGCTACTCCAGGTTCGTCCGCAGCTCCGGCTTTCTCGCGCTTACTAACCGTGCCTTGCAGCCTCCCCCAAAGTAGCGTCGCCCTGGCTTTCTCGCTCTTACTCACCAGTCGACCAACAAAATGCATCTCACGCGGTTGCTTCATGGTAAAACTGCAGCTCGAGGTCCCGGCGTTCTCGCTCTTACTAGCCCGGACCGATCACTGCAGAGAAGCATTGACTGTTGTTCCCTCTGCGGAGGCGAGGCCGAACAACCATTCGCTGCATCAGCGCAGCCAGGCCCTCAGCTCCTCACGGAGCCAGGGCTATCTCTAGACAGAGTTCCCTTGCCAAGCCCTCTATCTCTATGTGTCCCCCGCGGCGCCACGTATAAGCTGCTGCTCCGCGTGTCTTAGGACCACAGTTTTCATTCGGATTTGTTGTTGTAGGCCTTCCAGTGCATGAGGCCGAGACCAAACACCACATCTCACGTCACACGGCGAGGCAATTTGGCTCCAGCATCTGAAGATAGTGACATATACTCTGCGTGGCATCCGCGTGAGCTAGCCTGTCCACGGCTCCTTCCATCGCTTGTCTTACCACAGGTCTCTTTTGGTGGCCCGTACTCAGCAGCCAGCACATGTACCATCCTCAGAAGCCAGAGCCGCCTTGCCCCAGCAAGTGCCCATACAAACCACTCACCAGACAGTGAGAGCCAACATACTTCAAATAACCTCAGACATCTGCAAGGTTCCGCCTTGTCTGTGTGCACGGACAGACCCCAGCCCTTGTAGGAGACGTGGATGTAAAACAAAAGCAGGCCTGCCATGTCCGGCAGGCTAATAACCATTTGTTGCCTTCAGATGGGAAAAGCGAGAAGATCGGGCAACCTCCATCTGATTCCTGTTCCGGCCAATACCAGCCCTTACGAACCCTCAGCACGGAGCGAGGCCGAGGAAGGCTTGCTTGGACTGTTTGTCTGCCGGGGAGCAGCCACCAACAGCTGCGCTTCAACTTGCACTGTGCCGCACCACAGTCCTACTGCAAGTTCTTTGGCAACGGTTTCTCAGTAGCACCAGTCAATGAGCTTTACGACACTGATGCCTCTGGTTATTTGTGTCCAGGCAGATCCACCAGGGTTGGGCCAGATCTGTTCTACCTGATGCTACCTGCGAGAATATCCTGTTGTGCTCAGCTTGCAGATCCCCGAAAATCAGCAAACTCGGGCTCAAGCACACCGCTATTGTTCGGGACACTCCTGTCAACAACTGCAAGGATGCCGCTTGCAGTGCGACGTTGGCCTGCACTGTCTGCAACGTGCCTTGGCCGTTTTCCCCCGTGTTTCGGTCTCACCTTCGTTTTCCACACAAGTGAGCGAGGAACCCAAACTCACCCTAACACACAGCCCTCAATCCAAATGAGGGTCGGTGGGTTTTGCTCACCCAGAGACAGCAGGAATCTCTGGTGAGCTACAGGCACTATAGCGTCACCCCTCAAGCACAGTGGGGCTGTAACTCTCTGCGACCCAGAGCAGACTGTAGGCCACAAGGCTCCCTCAGCTACGCGAGGACGGAAAGTTTCCCTCCAGCGAAGCGAGGCCGAAAACTGTGCACTCGAGCGCCCTTCGTCGACGGCAGCAGTTGGCGGGCTGCCGCTCTATGACAGCTTAGCCGGTCAGCCGGCCTACGAGTAAACACAGTTTTGCCAGGGCCTCAAAACGGAACCTACCCTTAGTTACAAGCCCCAGGGCCAGCCACAACGGCACTAAAGACGCTCTCTACCTGAGCACCCCACCGGGGTTGAGCCGAAACCTTGAGCCAAGGCTACGGTCAAGGCGCCTTCCACATCCCCACACGGACCACACGGCCCGCAGGGCGCCGAATGAGTTGCTGCTAGTTCTAGGTCCATGAGCCCCGTTGCCAAACAAGCCCAACAACTTAAAAACAGAAACCACTCACCGCCTGACTGCAGTTCTCCCATGCTCCCTCTCTCCTTCTGCCTCGAGATCGAACATCCAGAGGTCGCCCAAGCGGCCACCTGCACCTCAGCATCGCGCACGGCATGGGGCTTCGGCAAACTCCCACGTTGCTGCGGGGGAAATCTCTCTCCTCTTGCAATGGCGCCGCCCCGGGCCGGGCCCCCGGACCAGAACCGCCGAAGACCAGCAGCTGCCCGGCGGCGCAGGCGGAGGTGTGGAAATACCGCGCCGGGGGCCCCTCCGCGGCCTGGATCTCCTCCCAGCGCTTTGCCTTCCGGGGCGCGGGAAAAGGGGACTTTGTGAGACCAAGGGAAAGAGAGACCTTGTTGGCACGTCTTCGGGCGCCTCCAGGTCCAAGGACCAGAGGTCGCTGAAGAAGTTGCTGCCATCCTCGGTTCCTCGACCGCTCCATTCCACTCCGCTTCGCTCCGGATTTGCGGGGAAACCCGGGGGAGCACACTCTGAACCCGAATTTTTATCCCTGCCCCTGTTCCCCCCCCCCCCTCCCCCGCAAAAAAAATGCATTAAGAAGGCTTCTTTTTTCGGGGCTTGGTTCTAGGTATCTTGGGGTGGGTTCAGGCAGCACCCCTGGCTTCATTTCAAGACAGGCTGTTTTTAAATAACAAAATTAGCAGTTAGCAGTGATCTCTACCTCCACCTCAAGGTCTTATCATCTTCCCTCATGTTATCTCATCTCTGGGACTCAGTTCCCTCTGATGGTTTGGAAGTTTTGAAGTTGTTTTGTGTTCAGAACATCAATAGCGTCTGTGTTTGATTGTATGTTTGAAGAGTTTGCCGTGTTGATGTCTCCTAATTCTGGTTTTTGTGGCATATAACAAAGAAATGTCTGTTCCACTGACTACAGTTTTATCTGCTGTTAATGTATTTGTATTATTCAATGTCAAAGGCATTAGTTACCCCCTCCCTTCTTGGATCCCGGGCCTCCGAAAAGCAGCATAGCGTGGGCCGCTTCCTCGTAGCTGGCCGAGTGCCCCAACCTGGCCGCTGGCCGCCGGCCCTCGGGCCGCAGCTCCGCCCAGCGCTCGGCCTCCGAGGAAAACATGCTGCGGGCACAGCTGTCAGGGTCTACCACGGAAGTGGTCTGTGGATCGAGAGGGAGCTGCGTTGTCTTTTGTCTTCCTGGA